GTTTTTAACACTTATATGGGATAATATACTGTAACATGATAACAAATGTATGTTAATAGCTTTAAAAAGTCAAGGAATCTCCACTTGTTCGCCATCATTGTCAACACGTGCCTGGAATCTTCTCCAGGTGGTCTCCAGAGCCCAGAGGCAGCACATTTCTTGCGGTATTGTTGCAAATTCTCAGAAGAGTTAACATTTTCTTGAAGCACCCTGTATATTGATTTGTTTTCTGTTACCGCAAAATGATATCCACATTTTCAGCTACAATTCAGCCACGGCCACCAAAGGATTCCATAAAAAGAATAGCTAATCCATAATGATTTATGTCTCAGCAATATGAAATAGCACTGCGCGTTGCATATTGCCCAGATGTGGTGTTGGATTATTTAGACTGCTTACCATGTCCATCGTGATTTCCAGTGTTCCCTTAACCTCTGTTTACCAAAACAATTCCTTTAACCCTTTGCATGACGGTGTAGTCAAAGCAAGAACTGTATGAAACTAAATGGATCTAATTTAGTTTAACACGTAGGCTTTCGCGACCAATATTATTCATAATAAAGGTTTTTGGGTTAGATCGCGTTTATTTATAAATGTGTCGTAACCCTCCACCACCCGACACGGCCAATCAGCAAAGAAAAGTGTCACGTTGACAAAAGACAAATAATTCACTACTTCAGCCCACCGGTGTGTTGAAGAGTTAATCCACATTTACAGTTTGAGTACGACGTTTCGCTGGTAAATACTTCCAGCATCATCGGGCAATTCGATGATGCTGGAAGTATTTACCAGCGAAACGTCGTACTCAAACTGTAAATGTGGATTAACTCTTCAACACACCGGTGGGCTGAAGTAGTGAATTATTTGTCTTTTGTCAACGTGACACTTTTCTTTGCTGATTGGCCGTGTCGGGTGGTGGAGGGTTACGACACATTTATAAATAAACGCGATCTAACCCAAAAACCTTTATTATGGATCTAATTTACTTTGTGCAAAATGCAATATGAATGGTGTGTGTATTTAATTAAATTCGGATTACCATGTAAAATGTGCTTAACTGAACTGAACTGCATTGAATACATTTTGAAACTAATACCGTACATCTAAATTTTGACGTGGAATGGTACGCAATTTTGAAAATGTAATTTGGTAGACACACAGGTGAGTGGTAATTTTTGGGCAATTTAGAACTCAGCACCAGAAAATGCTCTGCAATTAAAAACTCCTTTGGAATTAAATGGAGCAAATATAAATGAGTGTCTGAAAAATGTATTCTTGCAACTTATCGTCATCGATCAGCACCCATCATCTTCAAGGTAAACTTCCCCTAGCTATTAAGCATTTCAATCTTTGTCTCTTCAATAAAATATGAAGGCCAGCACTTGACAAAGAAAAATGAATCAAGATTTCATCATACATTGATGCCGCTCATTTCTTTAAACAAGCACTATCTTAACATTCTAACCCTTCATACACTTCACTATAGACATAAAGGAGTCCATTAGTTCCAAGGTCTTGTTTACTCTATACCAAACTTTACTCGAGTCCCATTGAGGCAGAGCTTAAGTCACTCAGCACACCACACACAGGTATACAGTGAGGGAAAAAAGTATTTGATCCCCTGCTGATTTTGTACGTTTGCCCACTGACAAAGAAATGATCAGTCTATAATTTAATGGTAGGTTTATTTGAACAGTGAGAGACAGAATAACAACAAAAAAATCCAGAAAAACGCATGTCAAAAATTTTATAAATTGATTTGCATTTTAATGAGGGAAATAAGTATTTGACCCACTAGCAATCGGACAGATTTCTGGCTCCCAGGTGTCTTTTATACAGGTAACGAGCTGAGATTAGGAGCACACTTAAAGGGAGTGCTCCTAATCTCAGCTTGTTACCTGTATAAAAGACACCTGGGAGCCAGAAATCTGTCTGATTGCTAGTGGGTCAAATACTTATTTCCCTTCTTAAAATGCAAATCAATTTATAACATTTTTGACATGCGTTTTTCTGGATTTTGTTGTTGTTATTCTGTCCACAGAAGCAATCAATCAGATTCCAAACTCTCCACCATGGCCAAGACCAAAGAGCTCTCCAAGGATGTCAGGGACGAGATTGTAGACCTACACAAGGCTGGAATGGGCTACAAGACTTTTGCCAAGCACCTTGGTGAGAAGGTGACAACAGTTGGTGCGATTATTCGCAAATGGAAGAAACACAAAATAACTGTCAATCTCCCTCGGCCTGGGGCTCCATGCAAGATCTCACCTCGTGGAGTTGCAATGATCATGAAAACGGTGAGGAATCAGCCCAGAACTACACGGGAGGATCTTGTCAATGATCTCAAGGCAGCTGGGACCATAGTCACCAAGAAAACAATTGGTAACACACTACGCCGTGAAGGACTGAAATCCTGTAGCGCCCGCAAGGGTCCCTTGCTCAAGAAAGCACATATACATGCCCGTCTGAAGCTTGCCAATGAACATCTGAATGATTCAGAGGACAACTGGGTGAAAGTGTTGTGGTCAGATGAGACCAAAATGGGGCTCTTTGGCATCAACTCAACTCGCCGTATTTGGAGGAGGAGGAATGCTGCCTATGACCCCAAGAACACCATCCCCACCATCAAACATGGAGCTGGAAACATTATGCTTTGGGGGTGTTTTCCTGCTAAGGGGACAGGACAACTTCACCACATCAAAGGGACGATGGACGGGGCCATGTACCGTCAAATCTTGGGATAGAACCTCCTTCCCTCAGCCGCGGCATTGAAAATGGGTCGTGGATGGGTATTCCAGCATGACAATGACCCAAAACACACGGCCAAGGCAACAAAGGAGTGGCTCAAGAAGAAGCACATTAAGGTCCTGAAGTGGCTTAGCCAGTCTCCAGACCTTAATCCCATAGAAAATCTGTGGAGGGAGCTGAAGGTTCGAGTTGCCAAACGTCAGCCTCGAAACCTTAATGACTTGGAGAAGATCTGCAAAGAAGAGTGGGACAAAATCCCTCCTGAGATGTGTGCAAACCTGGTGGCCAACTACAAGAAACGTCTGACCTCTGTGATTACCAACAAGGGTTTTGCCACCAAGTACTAAGTCATGTTTTGCAGAGGGGTCAAATACTTATTTCCCTCATTAAAATGCAAATCAATTCATAACAATTTTTGACATGCGTTCTTCTGGATTTTGTTGTTGTTATTCTGTCGCTCACTGTTCAAATAAACCTACCATTAAAATTATAGACTGATAATTTCTTTGTCAGTGGGCAAACGTACAAAATCAGCAGGGGATCAAATACTTTTTTCCCTCGCTGTACTGTGGGAAACCGCAGCACAGTCATTGGCGCTTTTTGCTACGAACTCGGCGATTCGAGTTCGATTCTCTGCTCATGGCCACCAACACCAGTGACAATTATCCAAATGGGTTTTGGATCGACTCAGCTTCATAAACGCGTCACTGGTGCGATGTGTAACTATCACCACTTGGCAGACAAAAGCGGCCGGGCAGGGTGTTGGCCACCCACCCACCCCATGTGCCGTGCTGGCCTTCATAAGTGCCCGCTAACAGCACTTGTATTTGTATGGAGCAGCAGTACCATGTATTGGATGTTTAGTGTTACATGCCATGTGGAAGCGTCATGCAGTAAGTGTGCAATGGTGGTGTGCCCTATGGCCCATAGTTGTCAAGAGACCGTGGCTCTCTCAGTGTTCCCAACATAACTGAATAGGTGCTCTCTGCTATAATAATGCAGGCACAGTGAGACAATGTACTATGTAGTGTAATTTGTACACTACACCACAGATATGCAAATGTCCCCTGCCTTCCAGAGTTCCAGGTCCAGTCTGACCGAAGGTGGTAGATCTTGCTAGCATCCCAAGCGTCAGGGTTACAGGTGGTCCCTGTTATCTCGCAAGGATGGCATCTGGTCTGATGCATGTGGACGCTCTGCTGGTCAGCCAATGGATATACCAGGCAAACAAACAGGTGGAATATGAAAATGTAAGAATGGCAACGGCGCACTGCAGAGCAGGGCAAGTCATTAATGCAATTCAGGAAAAGGCCCATGCAGGGGAAACCACCTCAATTACTCTCACGCGAATCAATAGGCAATGCATATTTAAATAAATCAGTAAATTACGAGTAAGTTACGAGGTTTGTAATGGAATGTTCTAACCACTAGCGGTGTAACACTTCACCTCCACTTGGTGATATGATACATTGTTGTGATTCTGGGCCACAATGGCATTAGTATTTTTTTTCTTTTTACTACCGAGTTTGTATATTGTCCGATTTTTGTCTGTTCCGTTTTAACAGTTTTGGTAGCTTAATTATCCTCAATGTAGCAATAGCAGATCATTATTATTTTTTTTGGCACGAGTTGAAAAACACAATTTTTCACACTTGCAATGTGATGCTTGTATCATTAGCATTAATAGTCAATGTTTAATCACTGAATGCATTCGAACCGCTTCACGAATTCCCACACATAATCCACTCACAAAGTTCAGAATTCGTAGTTTTCCCCCTAAATGCCTGCAGGTTGCCACTTGGGGGCACTCAACGCAAAATATAGGCCAAGATGTCGAACATGGAAATGAGTCATATCCTGTGTACTGTTACTGACTAAATAATAAACATTCAACGATAATGTTGAATACGAAGGATGAGGCAAAATCAAGTGTTTAAGGCATGAACAATTCGAAGATGATTACCAATTATTTACCAAATTGAATCTCATTGTTGTATGTTGTGAATTACAATTCACGTGAATGCGCTAGAGATGGATGTAACTGATTAGCATGCCCCTCATCCAATCGCCAACATAAAGGAGACGTTGTTATTTAATAATTTGTTTTGACAAGGTGATCATTTAAACATAATTTAGATAAATACATTGGGACTAGGGTAGGGGGGATAATTGCTGTATTGTCATCACACAGTGTGGTTGCTGAATGCATTTTAATTTAGCGATTGGGCAAGGCATGGGCAGAGGACACGAACCTATAGGTGGCAGCACAGTCACAGGGTCGGACTCCTGGGAAAAGTCGCTGAAGCCCGCAGTGTTCACGGCACGCACGCGGAAGGCGTACTTCTGCCCCGTCTCCAGCCCGTGCACCACAAACCTGCACGGCAGCAGACAGCCCCACAGCCCCCAAACCACCGCCACCACCACCGCCAATGAATCACGTTACGATCAATGTTGTACCCTTGCAATTTCTTGCTCGTTGCCACCGAGTGTAATTTAGCTCGAGAATAGCCCCGATCGGGGTGAATCTGGCCTGCTATTTTAATGCTGACCGGGCGACTATGAAGAGGTTGGAGTACATACACTTTACTCCGCATGCAGGACCCCGCCGATCAACTTTGGTGAACCCATTTATATTGCTCGGTAGGACTGAATTAACTAGCACTATTGTTGAGTCTATTGTCCTTCCCCCGCACCTCCGATGAGCATGGTTGGCTATGTACGGTGCGAAAGAAGTTCAACACGCATATGTACAACTTGCCATGCTGGGAGATTGATACCGGCAAAGACTGCGCCTCGCGTGCTAACCATAACACCAGAGCAGCGAACTTGCAACAAGGGACATGGAATTAGCAATACTTAGTATTTTACCCCAACCTCAACCTGTCCTTTTAAGCAATAGACTCTTGCTGCTGATGTTGAGAACCAGCCAAATGTCGACACACACTGTAAAGAATAGAGTTCCATGTCAATTGTGAGGACTTGAGGTCGTTCCCTTGAGCCTTTACAAGTGTTAGAAATGGAATTTAAAAGTGTAGGTGTCAAAAGCACACCGCTTAAAAGGCCATGATATTGTTAAGCAGAGAACAGGCATTTTCCTTTAAGCTGAAAAATATATAGTAAAGTAATACTTTTGCCTTAACCCCTGAACCTAAGTCCAAATGTATTCCACTAATCTTCACACTAAATTCCATTATACACGAGAGCAATCTTTGAGCAACAATTTATGTCAATAATCAATGGGGAAATAGTTCCTGCACCATTTTATATTGTAAATAATATAGTTGCACAAATCTGTTCACTCTACCCTGTGGGTTGCTGGTATGGAAGCTTACAATCAGATCAAACAATTGACATGGCAACCCAAGGTTGTGTGCTAGCTAAACCGATCATTGTTCACCAAACACACTTTTCAAAGCGTGTTTTCATTTGCCAGACTGAACTCCACGCTTTAAGACAATGCCATGCCATGTTGTCATAGTTGCTGAAAATGCATTTGCGATGCCCTTGCACACCATGACCTTTTCAAGAACAACAATCCGACTACCCTCTTTATGCATAATAACCCTCATAATTTTATTACCCTTGGTGTAAGTACTAATTAAAACTATGTCTTTCCGTATCAACTCAACGAGAGCCATTGAACGGCCATCTCCGAATTTGATACAAATTTAATCACTTGGGGGTTATGTACCTGCTGAGTTCAGAAATGTTGGGTCATTTATAATAAAAGAAAACTTTCAGCTGTGATCTGGCAAAGGTCACAGGTAAAGATCACCTTGACTATAAAAATCAGCTTGGGCTCAACGTAGATGCTCCCGTCGTGTGTAGCGCCTCATTCATCTCACAATGAAAAGGAAACCCTTACTGTTGGCAAATTGTCAACCCGAGGGCCTAAGTGATGCGTTTTATCCCAACTTCAGCCCACCCTGTGTGGAATGCGCGTCCTTAAATAAGGGTTCTGTCAATACTGTTGCGCAATGTGGCGACAGTAATTCATGATAGCATCAGCAATATACTGTTCCCTATGCATCTGTAGTCTAAACAATAAGCACTCGGATTGGTTCCGTAGCAGGACATCATCAACTTCCAAAGTGTGGCCACGAAACCCTGGCGCGAGAGACTGCCAGCTGCTGCTCAGGCGATTTGGTTCGCACCGTGTGTACTTGACCGGCTTGTTGTTGCAGGGCACCCAGCGGTCAGAGCCCACGAGGCTGGACTCGATGTAGTAGCCGATGAGGCCCTGCGAGTGCTTGGACGCTTCCCACGAGACGGCCACCGATGTCTTCGAGTTCCTGGATGCGAGGATCCGGCCCGGGGAGGAAGGCGGCGCTGTGGTACGGTCACCCCCCACGGGCACGGCGGCATCGCCGGCGTTAGTTGCGTCCGCGATTAAAATACACCGATGAACATATCGATCAACTGAGTGGGCTTGATTGCTTGATTTTTTTCTTTCGTTTCTTTCTCTTTATTTTCAGGGAATAATGATTGAGTGGACGATAATCATCGAGTATTTTGATAACTTTGATTAGCGGCCAAAGCATGGCTTTGCCGAGATGAAATTAACTAGTCTGAATGAAGATACAAAGACTTTGATGCACTTTGGTAAGTTGCTATGTAAAGCAAACTATACGTGCGGCTCTGCATGCTGCCAATACTGTTGGAATAAATACAATTTAAAATAACTGAATTCACTGATAAGTTGACCTGGTAATAGAGTAGGAGTGGACTAAATAATTTGAGAGTTTTAATCGAATAGAGTATGAGAATGACTAAAGAAATCCACACTTGGACGTGATTAAAATTCCACAGGTTGTCTGCAACTCGACCAAGACTAAACTGTAAATAACTTTGACTAACCGAGCACTTCCTCATGGTCAGTATTCTCGGCCACTTATAAAGCACGTGGCTTACATAACGGGGCACTTTACATACCGCTGTTCCTTAACTGCCCCATCTATGCAAGTGTAACCCTATGTAGACGAGTGATAGAGTAATTTTGCAGATAGAAGCAAGCCTACATTGCAGAATGCAACACAGGCAGCAATACATGCAGAGTATGGTGACACAATACAATTGTCAAATATTGTACAAAAAAAAGATTACGCGTATAATTAGCAACGTGCATTAATACAGCGATTCATTTGTCAAACAAATTGTCCAAATGATTATTATAAATTTATATTCTTTGCTAAATGGTATCACATTTTCAAATTAATTGGTCTGAAAATGAGTTATAGATTAATATTATTTGATCAAAATGATCAGTCGGTGTAGTTTAGGAGTATGAATCTGTGAATGAGTGGAATGGACGAAAAAATTGAATTCATATGGGATTCATCATTAGCAAAAACGTGTTATGCTCAGGAGGGTTAACAGCAATGCTATTTAACTCCTGCCAGGATATTGAGTCTCACTGTGTGATATAGACTTGCAGCTTCTCAGGTCAATGTCTATGTGTGCATCTCACCTCGTGCCACTGGTGGATAATAATAGTGGGATATGAATCCGTTATACCAGTGCAGACCATATTCATTCTCAATTGATCCACTAAGTCCGGCTGCTCACGTGCGGTCAAATTATGTGCCTTTTACGACCGTAGCGAATGCTATTTCCATTTGACATTCTTTAATCTGCAGTATGGAGGCGAAGGAAATTGCCTTCTGTCAATGCAATAAAAAACATAAATAAATCTAGATTGTTGGACTATTTATAGGATTAATCAAAATGCTTTTATAAAGGCCAATTAGGGACAATTTGGCAGAGGAAATCGCAGATGTGTTGATTGGATGTCAAAAATGTGTCAGAAATTACAATTATTATGATTATACCAGTTTAACCAGGAAAGCCTCATTAATGTCTTTTCAGTTTCCGCAGTCGGGGGACATGTTGCTGTTTGTAATCCCAAATGAGTAATTTGCAGGTAATTTTCCAACACTGGGATGTTTGGCCAATATTAGCAGCATTATTTGATTATTTATATGGGAGGAAAGCAGAGAACCCTGAGAAAACCGTGCAGAAAAGGTTGAGAACATACAGTACACACTATACACAGTGTGCTGAATTGGGTATCGAACCCAAGTACAATTGGATATGGGGCAAAAGTTACCACTGCGCTACCCTGATATTAACATTTGCAGGTCAGGGTTACATTGAATTGGCACATTTTTTTTTCTTTTGGTGAAAGTTTTTTTTCACTGGCAAAAATTGTAATATTATCAATGACATTCTGTATACTTAGAGAAACATACGTGTCATTAAAACCCCGTTTCCAAAAATGTTACTCTAACGCTATCTATTCTAACCAAGATCAAACAGATACATACCAGTGAATTAAGTCAATTAATGATTGTAAGTGTGATGACACTGAAGTTTTGATTAAATGCAGTTAAACACATGCAGACTGGGACTTTTTATGTAATGTTTTCATTATTAACCCCTTCTATAAACTGCTATTTCATAATCATCTCATTAAATCATTTCGTGAACTAATGTTTTTCAACTTCTTTGGTTCTTTCGGTAAAGTTACGTGACTTTACCGAAATAATCAAAGAAGATGAATCCTTGCAGTCACGAAAGCTTTAAATCGAAATTTAATGTTTTTCATATATAAAATACAATATTGAATTTAGACGAATCTTAGATTTGAAGCTTTCGTGACTGCAAGGATCCATACTCTTTGGTTCTATTCGGTAAAGTCACGTAGGTTTTATATTTTACCTACGTGACTTTACCGAATAGAACCAAAGAGTAGAGACGAATCTTGTCCAGGAGCATTTGCTTAAGCGAGCAAACTCTGGATCGATTCCCATGTTTGGGTCTCGGCAGCAGCAGATCAGACTTGTTAAACCAATGCTGCTGGGTTGCCTGATGCCATTGGCGAGAGCACACCATTTAAACAATGGGGCTCTCTTCAGTGAAAAACGCAATGTAAATATATAAACAAATACACGTAATAATTACGTACGTACCACTATTGGAGATATATCTCTTTGGTATAAAGAAGAGGGCCATTGCCCAAAATGTCATCTTTTCAATATCCGTTTATCACTTTAGGGCTGTGCTGCTGATGAGCGTGTCAAATGTTTTGTTATTCGCGCTTACGCACAAGCTGCCGATGCCGCTTCACACCGCAATCGCACATATGTACATTGTCCGTCGTCGTGCATAACATCATTAGTTGAGTGCGACCCTTTTTCCTGTTAGTTAGCCATTTGGAACACCTGTTGTCAAGCACACATCTGGGCCGAGTGGACACAACCGACGGTGTCCGGAACCCGGTGCCGCTCTGGCCAGTGGTGCGGACGGGGGACGGGGATGGGGCAGAGGTGGGCGGCCTCCTCACCGACGGTCGTGCCTCCATTAATGGGCCCTGTGGCCCGCGATGGCTCGCTCACTCCGCCCGCGTTGGACGCCAGCACGCGGAAGCTGTAGGATTTGCCGTCGGCGAGGTCGAAGACGGCGGAGCGCGTGGAGCGTGCGGGCACGTCCGCGTTGAGGCGCTGCCAGCTGTCGGTGCCTCCCACCAACTGACATGGGGGTGGGTGGGGGGGGGCCCGAGAGAGAGTGGCGGTGATGACAGGCGTGCGGGCAGCTCTGCTCGCAGAGCACGAGTATGTCAAAATTATTAAGTGGAAAGGCCCCGTTGTTCGCTCACTTCGCAATTGTTATTCATGAATTAAACGCATAATGGGAATGTGGCACGCAACCGCGCGTTGTGTTAATTTAAGACTATACCAGTGCACCTGCGTGTAAAACAATTCTAAATGTGACTTGGGTAGCCAAAATAATTCCCAGAAAACTTTGGAGCACGTAGCATTTCATTAATCCTTATGACGGTTTCAAATGTGTCTACATCTGGTATCCAATATTGAACTTAGGGTTTCTTGGTTTCTCAAAACTCAATGTAAGTTTACCACCGCCTCTTCCAAAAACCTCAAATGGATTGGCATCTTCGCCCATTTTATAAAAATAAAGTAATCAAGAAATTATACTCCTTGCTTCTATTCGGTAAAGTCACGTAGGTAAAAAATAAAATAAAATAAAAAATAAAAATCACGACGTTTCGGCCACAACACAAGTGGCCTTCATCAGGTGTACCTCCTACATACATCATGCTCCTTTGTATGCTAATTCCTTTGTCAAGGCGCCTTTGTTTCCTCCCACACAGCTTAAAGGACGCGACCTGGGCTTGGCTGTTCTCACTCCAATGCTGTCCTCTTGACAGTCCGGTCCCTTCACCTGATGAAGGCCACTTGTGTTGTGGCCGAAACGTCGTGATTTTTATTTTTTATTGTTTTATCTTATTTTTACCTACGTGACTTTACCGAATAGAACCAAGGAGTATAGATCCTTGCAGTCACGAAAGCTTCAAATATAGAATAATCAAGAAATTTAATGAAAATGGTTAACACGTGATTAATTCCGGAAAAATGTGTGGTGTAGTTCACCTGTACGCTGTAAATGCACGAGCAAGGGAACGGGCACTTATGCCAGACAGTAAGAGAGAAATCTTAGGATGAATTAGGACTTGCCAGTGATGACTTCTGCATGACTCCTCTTAGGCACAAGGACACGGTAAATAGCACGTGTATTTAGTGCCTGCCATGACCACTTCTAGGTGACTTGTCTTTGGAATTTTTTTGCAACCCACGGTTAATAGGATTTTTGTGGATCAATGAGGGGCCATTTATAATATGGTTTATGGATAAAAGTTTCACAAATAAGAGGGGCATCAATACAGGTGACATTAAACACAAAACCTGAACTGATGTATTATACAGTGTCACTTGGGTAAAACAAATTCGTAATTTTCATTCATTTGATTTTGGCTTTATACGATGCATTGAGTTTTGTAAATTAGGTTATCAATTTGCTAACGTGGACTTGTTCGCTAACTTCACCATCATGATGAGGTACTAAACACAAAAAGCAGCTCTAAAGAAATGAGTTTTCAATCTAGATTTAAAAGTGCATAGCTCCGAGTGGCTAATGTCTGAAGGAAGAGCATTCCAGAAGGCCGCAGAAGCGCATCTGAAAGCGCGCGATGCAATGACCGTCTTTGTTCGATGGTCAGCCAAAAGCCACTGCAGCGAGGATGACCCGGGTTCGCGTGATGGTTTAAAATGTCCTGCTACTAAATGAGAAGGGTCGTCACCCGTTCTGGTTTCTGCAGGATTGTGATAGCCGTCATGTAATTCGGTAAATCTCTCCAGACCATTAAATATTTAAAGTCATGTTTTTTTTGTCAGTCACATGTAGTTCTCCCACCTTCCCATGATACGTCAGAGATGTTTGTACCTTGGAGCTGAAAAGTCTACAAATAAGTTTTACATTTATTCCACAATATCAACAATGCAGTGAAACTGTGAAGCTTCAATGAATGCTTTACATCACTAATTACATCACAGTTGCTGATAATGCATTTTAGACACGTGGACTGTAATGTGTCGGCAATAGTAATAGCAGCAGCAGCACTACCCTCTCGACGAAATATTTCAGGCCCTCTGATCCTTGGCTGGGTGGCTTCCACGCAATGACGGCATAGTTCCTGCTGGCTTCCACCACAACCACATCCCTGGGTGGTGCTGGAACAGCCGCGCCTGTTAACGGGAGGTCCACTCGTTAGTCCCGTGTCTATGTGAGTCACGTCCACAGATCTCACTCACGGTAAGATGAGACGGACAAGGTTAAATAAAGATGCTGAGCTGTGTTCGCCAATGTCACGTCGATACGCGAGGCACGAATAATGATGAATTTATTAAAGCCATAGTTGCATATGTTTAAACGTACTATAATTGTAATATACAACAGTACAATATGAATTCAAGGCAGGTAGCACAACTAATGTACTATCTGGTCTGCCGACCGCATGGCGTGTTTAAAAAATATTACAAATATTTTAAAAGGAATGTAAAAAAATGCTGATTATAAGTATTTGCTCTGATATTTGCAGATTATGCACTGCCGCTTATTTATTTATTTAAGCATATTTTTTGTTGTTGAAAAGTTTCTGTATTGCACACACGCTATACTTTATGATTCAGCAAAAACCAATTACCTTTTGGCTCGCCCTGCTGTACCGTTATTTCTCCAGCTGTTGGAGCGGCCGGCTCACCTGGGGAAAATCAAACGCGCATTAAAACGGCATGATTGGCAAAACTCAAGACTGCAGCTGCAGCAAATATACATTTACACCAAATTTGATATATATCTAAAAATATATAAAACTGGTACAAACAACTAATGCATACATTTATAAACACCCACCGAACTTCGCTCTGAAATAAGATACAATAAATGTTGAGAAGTCTAATTATAATCTTTTGAAACTGGGATTCGGTTAATTAGAAATTTTGTAAAATGCACTGCATATGACGACACAGGGATACATTGTCCCAAAATTGTACTTGTACAGCCATTTTCGTCACTCCACTGCTAGATGAGAGCATCTGCACAGAGAGCTGGTCGTGGGGGTTATTGGACCATCCTTCACTACACTGGTTAGCGTGGGTTGGTGAAGATGGGAAACACAAACGTGGAAGCATAGCAGAACAACACAACACTGTATTTTGCTCCTGATGACCACAACGTAACACTGCTAGCTATGGCAGCTTGCTGTGCATGGTGGTCACTCATACAAACACAACCCAGGTTCAAGCCTGCTTAGCTTCCAAGATCTGATGTCCTTGGCTTCCAAGATCAGACCCATTCCAGTTAAGTTGGTCGCATGCATCCCATATTTAATTACATGCAGTGATAATAACAATACGGGTTATACAGCAATGCCCCATTACATCTCTTGACTGCCCACACACACTACATGGGAATAATACTAAATTTTGCATACATATAGTTTAAAACATCCAACGCTCGACTGTGCTCTGCCGACCATCTTGCAGAACAAACAACACTTTGGTATTCGCAGGTAGTTTCTCATAGTCGGTGGCTGAAACCTGCTTAGCTTCCGAGATCTGACAAAATATGGTGCGTTCTGGGCTATTTGGTCGTAAGTACATTCCCTCCCGGCAATTTAGAGGCCATTCAATGCAGATGTTAATTGTATCAGCAGAAGACTTCAGTTTATACGCACTCACGTGCATGGAATTACATCGATATTATTGTCAAATCACAAGAAGACCTTCCTACAGATTGTTATATTGACAAGCTCTGTGATTCTACTCAATATTTTCATGGTTAAAATAGTTGTTCCACCATATAACACATACATCCGGACTATTTTTATCCTCCCTAAAACGTTGCTTTACTCCGAAGCTTCTTCCTGCTTAATAATGACGACACACAATCTCGTCATTTTCAATCCAACAATGTGTGAAGGCCTCCCCACGCCAAATTGATAGTGTAGGTTTTTGGCACTACACTCCACCATGCTGAATAGTGCAAGTTTAGCAAAAGGGGAGACGAGAAGACCAGTTCCAATATCGCTTGCCACTGATGTAAGCTGTGAATAACTCAAGGGAACTGAACTCTGATCGCTGGATTCAGGGTGGAGCGTGCTGACCACCGAGCTACTTTTCCACCCCCCCAACCTGCTTTGGTACGAAAAAATAATACAATAACTTCATCACGAAGACATCAAGACGCCCATATGAAACTGTAGAATGTCGTGGCCAGTGGTAGCACAAGTACAAACAATGTAGTTCAGGCTCAATTTACAGCCTCTTGGAAGAATTACAAACAGAATAAAAAAGAGACTGCTTTTAAAGCTAAGGTCCCCCGAGTGGGCTAACTCTGCATAAATTGGTTTTGTGTGTTGCCAATATAAATGTAGCAATCATTGTACTAACCTTGCAAGCGGTGGCCTTTGAAAGACAAATGCAATCATGACTTTAACTGAAATGCCAGTGAGACATAACAGACCACTGCATTTGTAGGCCAAGACAAGTTTACTTTTCATAAAAAGGGTGAAGTAAAACCTAAGTAAAACTTTAAAAATATCTTCACACTTTTTTCGCAATCTTGAAACTGTGAAATAACCTTTCAACCCCACGCAAACACAATGTTAACTAAAACTTGCATTTTGAAAGGCTATAATAAAAAAAATGTTAGGAGAGAAAATGTTTGTTGTTTTTTTTTACAAATAATGTATTATTAATATATGCAGAACATTACGTTTGTGATTTAATACTCAAATGAGCGTTATGGTGGTACTCACATCCCATTTGCAGCCGTGAGGCAGCGGTGGAAATTCCACGTTCCTATGGCAGGGGTGATTTTATTTGGAGGAAAACTGCTATTCAATTCCCAAAAAGGTGTAACTCTTTGGGATGATGGATAAGGTAAGTCCCCAATCAGAGTTTTAACTGGAAACCTTTCAACTGAGGCCTCACTCTACCGCTGAGCAAGAATTCCATACGGTGTGAAAGAAGTTCAACATACATATACAACTTATATATACATTTTTCATTTGCTGTAAAGAAAGCACGAGTGGAAATTACCTCCTCATAGTCTGTCACAGCAATGAAACAGGATATCTGTGAGCATTTTGACTTTTTGTGACAACAGTATGGAAATGTTCAATCCGAGGTAAAGAATTAGAACTTTAATATAGCCCACACCTTTATCACAGATTATTAAATTACACCACTAAATAAAAAAGGTTGCGAGAATTAATGCGAGAACAGAATCACTTCTGCTCTTTGGTTTTTTCGGTAAAGTCACGTAGGTAAAATAAAAATAAAATAAATGAAAACAACTAAATTAAATCACGACGTTTCGGAGGCAACACAAGCTTCCGTCTTCAGGTGAAACAGTCACAGCAAAATCAACTGTGTCAAGTGAACAGCTCTGGGACACACGGGTTTATATACAGGTTAAGGGGGGGAGGGGCTAAGTTAAGCCGCCTTTTGTTATTCTGTAGGGGATTCAGGGGGAGGCGGTGGTACGCTAGCACATAAAACCACCTTTTGTTATTCTGTATGGGATTCAGGGGGAGGTGGTGGTACGCTAGCACATAAAACCACCTTTTGTTATGCTGCAGGGGGTTCGGGGGGAGGCGGTGGTACGCTGCACGGGCGAGTACAATCACTGGTATAAACGTAAATGGCTGTATAATTATAAGCCAGCTAATGTTTGACTTGGTTGATGACATCTTTCCAAAAGTTGCTCAATTTAAAACCATCCTCTCAGTTGAAGTTGTGTCTATGTTTGTATATCTGGATGGCTTCATGGACAAATCTTTGGTAATAACTGGGAGGTTTGCATGGTACTTTGGTATCGGAGAAAACAATGTCATGAGAACCCGCTGTGTTGAAACAATGATCAGCCACGGCCGAAGAATTCGTTCTGCCGTGTTTCAATTCTGATTTGTGCTCGCGAATTCGGTCAGAAATATGTCGTTTCGTCTCCCTGATATAGCAGTCACCACAGGTGCAACTCAATTTGTAGACACCGGGGTACTGTAAGTCAGGAATGACATCCTTTACAGATGGGATCAGATCACGGATTTTGTGTACTGTATTGAACCGGACCTGGATCTTGTGTTTGTTTAGAATTTGGGAAATCTTTTTTGGTTACGCCTGCTATGTAAGGCAGTGTGATGGTTTTGATCGGAGTATCAGGTGGTTGTTTCTGTATGGTGGGAGAGACAGCTTGGCGGATGGTACGGTCAGAGTATCCGTTCATCTTGAGGGCCTGATGTAGATGTTTTAATTCACTGGCCAGGTGGTGTTGGTCAGAAATGCAATGAGCCCTATGGTATAATGTTTTGATGCAGCATAACAAAAGGTGGTTTTACGTGTTAGCGTACCACCGCCTCCCCCTGAACCCCCTACAGAATAACAAAAGGCGGCTTAACTTAGCCCCCCCCTCCCCACCCACGTCCCTTCCTGGCTCCTCCCCCCCCTTAACCTGTATATAAACCCGCGTGTCCCAGAGCTGTTCACTTGACACAGTTTATTTTGCTGTGACTGTTCCACCTGAAGACGGAAGCTTGTGTTGCCTTTGAAACGTCGTGATTTAATTTAGTTGTTTTCATTTATTTTATTTTATTTTTATTTTACCTACGTGACTTTACGGAAAACACCAAAGAGCATGAATCCTTGCAGTCACGAAAGCTTCAAATCTAGAATAACTTCTGTGAGGTATCTGCTCATTTAAACATTTGGAATATTAAATTTGCTACATCTAAAACTGTGTAATGGAATTCAAATGACTCATACACTCAATTACCTTGAAGAAGATACCAAGCAATTTGCCTACACCAAAGATATGATTTTCCTAACGCTATTGTCGGGTTAGGAATAAAGTTTTTTTTATATTTTATTTATTTATTCTTAATGGAGCTTTAGCTCACCCAATAAAACTGGGAACTGCTGGTTAAATGTTTATAGGCTATTAAAAAAACTCCTACATTTATGTGATAATTATAGAAAGATTTCAGTGCGCATAATTACCAAATGATTTTATCTGCTCATCAGTCAATAACATGTTAATTACAAACCTAATTAAGTGCTAAATATGAAAATACAATCTAATTTTACAAATCTCGCGGAATTCTTTTAATGTATTTCTTCTCCCGTATTATTGTGGATTTGTTATAATTTTCAAAAAAGAAAATAAACATAAGAAGCATTGATTTCAATTTGTACGAAAAGTGTCATGGTCCATTATCCAACATATAGTGCAATATTTCCATACATTTCAATTAATCATCAGTATTTTAATTCAGAGTTGCACAACTTTCTATAGCAAATCACAATATATTATGGGAAACCAGGATGTATGTTATACGTAGCAGTGGGCTGTATCTAAGTGGGATATTGTTACTGGTAAGAAATGCAAGCTTAAACTAAAACTAAACTATTTTTATTTTACCCGGCAAGGCTCACTGAGCTATATAGCTCTTTTTTCAGAAGCGACCTGGCCACAAATGATGGCTCAACGAGGTGGCTTATCACGTGTAAATGTAGAGCAGCCAAATACTCTAAACGCAGGTCTCTCAATGGGGAGGGGAAAACCGGAGCGCTCAGAGAAAAATCCACACGACCACGGGGAGAACACGCAACTCTCCAAATATACAACAGGCGTCAGGGTTGGGATCGAAACCCGCGTCCTCCTGCATACCAGGCGAGGGAGATAAAATCTCGCCACTAACAATGGGAACAGCTTAGGACCATGAAGAAACATTTGTATTTCGTTGTGGGACGTGGGTTTGTTTTAAAATGATTTTCAACAAGGTCCTGTGAAACACGGACAACAGTGGTCAGGCTTAACGTTAAGCAATTATAATCGGTGAGCAGCATAGGTCAAGCCACACAAGTGTCTTCTCCTCTCTGGTAAAAGACTTGACCAGATGGTGATCCGTCCTGGTTTAGCTGTGATTGATCGACTCCATGAGCGCGTTCTGGTATGTTTTAAATAAAACAAAGCCTCAGGCATCTTTCGATTATTAAATCAAGCTCACCTCTCGTGTTTGGATTCAAATTGAGAATTAACACGTGCATTTACCTAAATAACATACGACAATGTGAGAACAATCCCTGCACGGATTAAATTGATGTAGATTCATAACCCGGACACATTGCGATTCATTTCAATGAAGCAAATAGATGAATTTCACAATATGGTCGTTACTTGTACCGTTTTTAAATATGCGCTGACAAATTCTAGACGAAGAATAAAAGAAACGCGATTGAACGCGTATTATTCCAATGAAGCACGTCGATAATTATCACACATTACCCTACCACCCTTTCCCTTCACCCAATGTTACACACAGCCAACTTGCACAACATCTAAGGATGTAAGCCTCATTGCGACAATTTTTCAATTCTGAACTAAAAATCTAAACTTTTTTATTTATTTTATTTTAGCAGGTATTGCTCACTGAGCCATATAGCTCTTTTTCAAAAGCGACCTGGCCACAAATGATGGCTCAACAAAGTGGCGTATCACGTGGAAATTTATTGCAGCCAAATAGTCTGAATGCATATTGATTCTCAATGTGGAAGGAAAAACCGGAGGACCCAAAGAAAAATCCACTTGAACCTTATGGCGGTATCCCCGGGGTACCATCGTTACCCCGGCTCTCGCATAATGTCCGTGATGCAGTCATTTTTTTAGTCTGTTGATGGTCGGCGATGCGGCAATCGACTCATCTCGACGAGCCGTACTCACGATGCACCACCAGTACGGTGCGTTCGCGAGCGTTCAGGGTTTCAGCGCGATCGCCCTCGCTGCGTTTCGACATCGCGGAGTAGCACCACCGATTTCGGATTGATTGGTACCCCCAGTCGCGGAGTGAAGTAACACCCCTGGGAAAAAGTGTCCAAGAAATGAAATATTTAATTGCATCGGCCATTTTGTCTTATTTGGTACCACGGGGTACCGCTGTAAGGATTACTTGACCACGGGGAGAGAAACATGCAAACCTCACATACTGTATACAGGCGTCAGGGTCGGGTTCGAACTGTAATTAATTAAACAAAGCTTCCCCATGAAACTTTCTTTTAAGTGGTGCTATCCATCACTGGTGTGTGCACATTTTGTCAGCCAGATAACTTTGACGAACAAGAAATGTCCATGTTTCTCTGAACACGTCATCAACTGACCTTGGCCCAGGCTTTTTTTCATGGAAGACTCCATTGCACCAGCTCTCATTTTACCCGTTTTGTTCTTTAAAATCACAAGGGAATTCCGCTTGTCTGCAGTCATCGTTGACCGGGCTGACAGCTGAGGCCATCAAAGACATTGCACAAGCGATGCTCTCCACGCCGGAGAGGGACTGCTCATTTTTCACTCTCCCTTCCCTCAGTTCATTCGCCGGATCTCGCACATGGGCACAGTGCCCTGTCATGGAGCATTGCCTCATGGACCTAACCAAGCCAATATGACATTGAATCGCTCGTGTCTAGTTAACGGGTGCAGTGAGTTACTCTTGCTTAACTCCGTTAATGATTGTCATATATATCTGTGCTTTTGGCAATTAGATGCACAACATAAGTGTACTAGAGCCTGTTTCTTAATGCAGACGTTGGGTTGATAGTAGGCATTTAATGATGCATTGATTCATTGATTCAACTTGATTATTAGGCTCACCATACATGTATCAAATTGTGAACCAGAACTCTACTTTTACAATTTATGTAAATTATTTAGTAAATAATGTGTTAATTTAACACGTAGCCTTTCACGTGAATATGAATGTGTCATTAAACTCGCCACCACCCGACACAGCATGTTCTGTCATGTAAACAGAACATGCTATTCGTTACTAGCACAGCACACCGGTGTGTTGGAGAGTAAATCCACAATATTTACAATGTGACTATGACGTTCCACCAATAATTATAATTAGCATCAATAACCCAACCGGTAAGGAATACCTATTGTAATTTATAAGCATTCATTAACACCCCCCCCCCCCACCCTTCGCACGTGAGGGTCTCACAAGTGATGACATCACATCTATCCCTCTATTTACAAACACAACAGGAGGATTTCTCCGCAAATCTGGCTGTCGCAAGACACCGAGCGTGGATACAACGTTATTTAAACACCTTCTTCCACGGGTAATTATCTTTCAAGTGGTAGTCTAGAATAGACATCTCACTCACAATTGGAATTCTAACTTGGGGGGGGGGGTGGGAGGGAGGGAGGGAGGGGAGGGTAGCGACAAGACAAGTTAGAGGATCAAGCCTGTTTACATCAATCCCCTTTGGAGCCTACGAGCGCCGTGCACGATTTGACATGACCACGCGGGCGACGCTGGGTCTGACCTAGGTCGGCGGGGTCGACGGCGGGGATGGGCTCGGTGGGACGTGACGGGGAGCCCATGCCCGCCTTGTTGACGGCACGCACACGGTACTGGTACGACTTCCCCTCGGTGAGGCCCGTCACGACGGGGTGGCGCGTAAAGCGGACGGGCGCGTCGTTACACTTCACCCAGTTCTTGGTGCCCAACTCACACCTGTGGGCAGCACAGAAGGACGAGATGTCAACTACCTCGTCTGGTATGCAGGAGGTTGTGGGTTCGATCCCGACCCTGAAGCCTGTTGTATATATGCAGTTTGCATGCTCTCTCTCCCAGTGCCCGATTAAGTTATTGCAGGGCCTGTAGCATATGTTACAAAGGGGCCCTAAGAATAAAAAAAAACATAAATATTTAAACACAAATGTTTTTTTTTAATTTGCTATACAGCCATGACATTACGACAAATCTCTAACCCTAAACACCCAGTCGTTTATACAAGTTGAAGGCAGTATAGTACTATAGTAATAGAGCAAGTGCAGAATCACTGAACCGGAATTGATAGCTTGAAAGCATTTAGCGCGGGGCCCTTAAAAGTGCGGGGCACGTAGCACATGCTACTTTTGCTACTAGGATAATCCGGCACTGCTCTCTCCCCATGGTCGCGTGGATTTTTCTCCGGGTCCTCTGATTTTCCCCTCCAAATTTATAAACATGCGTTTACAGGATTGGCTGCTATAAATATCCACGTGATAAGCCACATCGTTGAGTTATCATTTGTGAGCTATATAGCTCAGTGGACCTTATCTCGTAAAATATAAATAGTTTTGTTTATAGTTTAAAATAGTTTTTCCCCATTAAAACAGTTGCTTTTATCTACACATTTTTTTCTGTGCAATAGTAGACATCAATCACTGTGATTAACAATAATAACGATACTGTACAAAAAACAAATCGAGCAATGCGAACTGAGATGGCATGGCCATGACAATTCCGCATAAACAGGAACACAGCAAATGCAATGGCAATGCCAGATGAGGGGGAGAGAGGTAGAGGATGACAGAGAAACAAGATAACTCGTCCAGTTGAAGAGGAACGAGAACAGAGAGGAATGGCATAGATCAGCGCAGATGGTATCTGATGGTGATCGCCAAAACTGCAGGACTGCTGCTAGACGCTTGTGGACTGTAATGCCACTGGATGGATGATGAAAAAATGGAGAGAAGAAAACATGACTGTACCGTTTAGTAAAGATAAATAGCATACGTTAAAATTAATTTCACTCATTTTATAAATTGTGAGTGGAATTCTGTTTCAAAAAATAATTTGCATTGTAAGTACAAAAACACAAACAAGTTAAATTGGAGTTGAAAGAATCTGAGCCTGTGTTACTTGTAACATTGACTTAACACAATTCCCCACGTGGAATTTCTACGTGAAAAGAGGCAAGCTTTGATTAAGAGTAGCGATTGTATTTTGTTGCTAAAAACATAATTGTTCATCATCGGAAACCCTTGGTCAATCTACTACTGGCTTCCCTAAGACATGGCCATCTCTCACGATTCTGTCATTTGATAATCCCCCTAACACACCCACATACAAATTTATTTAATCACTTTATCTCCCCAGTGGACGTCCTCTCAGAGGTGGTCCGTGCTTTCGCTGCCACCCTGTCATTTATACTGCCCACCTGCCACAGTTATTTCGAGTAACGTGTTTTGCCCCGAGCCCACCTTTCTCAACAGTTCTCATCGTGTATGTGTGTGTTGAACTCATGTTGCCCCGTATGTAGCTAACCGTGATAATTCGAGGTGTGGGATATGTCATCAATACTTATTAAATTAATACGTAATATGTAAAAAGATAAACTGGTCACGGTACAATCTCGATGTGGACCGTAACTTAAAATGTGTGGGCTGAGAAGTATTCTCAGATCATAGAGCACATAAACGTTATATCTTTGGGACCTTTTTTGCCACTAGACATTGCCAAACAGGACCCATAGATATAACTGCTCAACCCGAGCTATTAATGCTTTGATACTTGCATTGCCTTTGTACTGTTCGCCTTTTTGGCCTTCTCTGGTCAAACACTGGCGAGAGAAGGCCATAAAAAAAGTCTGTCTCTGGTGTAGGACAATCAGTTTCAAAGACAATGAATATATTAGGGCAAGTTTGTTTGTGTTTTTTGCCACAAGTATGTGTGGTTACTGCAGACCGATGCCTTGCAATAGGTATATATTTGGTGTTTGAACATCTTAACACCTATTTTATTGCGAGAAACGGTCAAGTCTATTCTTATTTCCCACAGTAAAGGTTTTTTTGGGTTAGTAAATGTGTCGTTAAAAACCCGCGACCACCCAACACAGCTAATTAGTAAGCTTTGTCAAAACAAAATCTGCCAATTAGTTATTACATGAGCTCAGAGGTGTGTTGGAGAGTAAACCACACCCGTGTCGGTAATTACAACCAGCTTCAAGCTTATACATTGGGCTGTGTCACGTGGTGGTGGTGGTGGTGGGGTTAACGACACATTTGTATTCGCGTGATCTAACCCCAAAAAAACACCTTCACTGTGCAAAATATTGGTCACGAAAGCCTGCGTGTTCAACCTGCTCTTACTTTTTGTAATCACACAAAAGGTTCTCAAACACATGACAGAGGGCACAGCGTTGCCTTTTCCCTTACCTCTCAATGTAGTAACCGACCACATGACTGCCACCCTCTGCACTGGGTGGCTTCCATGAGAGAAGGACATAGTTGCGGTTTGATTCTTGACACTCGACATCCAGGGCAGCGGCTGGGGCACCGGCCACCTCAGCCTTTCCATCTGCACAATGGGGGGGGGGGGGGGATGGAAGTGTGCCCAGCAAATTTGATTTCACGTTGATGTGAAACCCTGCAAATCGCTTGCTCACACCGCTGCTGGCAGAAGAGGAAATCAACAAAGGGGGAGCTACAGTGGGAACCTTCCGAGGGTGTTTGGCCTACTCTTCCACACTAGCCAGAGACCTGAGAAAAGATCAGAGTGGCCGCATTTTATCACAACACACGCGACCTGCCGAATGACCAATTGCAGTGCACCAATTTAAATTGCTGGGTTGATAAGGGGCGGATGATTTAAGCAACGTTTCCATTCTTTCAGCAGCATCCGCTCAAATGCTTTGCTTGACAAAATCTGAGTCTGAACTCTACTCCATGTTTGGTCTGAATATGATGATACATTTGAAATGCATTTCTTTTAAATGCAAGCTATAAATCTTCATACACAGGTTTAGCAGTTCCACTGTTGGATTTTTTTTCCGCCTTAGGACGACCGCTTGTGTTGCGATCGAAACGTCGTGAGATATTATTTTTATTTTATTTTTTTACATACGTGACTTTACCGAAAGAACCAAATAGTATTTATACACACTGTGCCACTCTTACCCGACAGACTGCTCAACAAAATCCAAGCATTTCTTTTGTAAAACAAATCAGAGACATTGTACTTTGAAGTGGCTATCATTCATCCTTAAAGTATACAATCCATTGGCGGCATTATTTGGAGAGGGCGGGGGGGGGGGAACACCCTGATAGCCTTGTGTGCTTTTTCAGCACACCTATCTGTTTGTTTGGGCGAAAGTACTGATGCACACACGTGTTTGCAAACTACTTTTAGAGTTTACATTTGAAGCGGGTTCGACACAGGGTACGACATGCAAGCCCTCCCCCGACTCCCCACCTCCCACTTGCACATGTCAGGCTACTCAAGCCTGAAAAGCCACATGGCTCAAGACTTACTTGGGTTAACACCATTGTTGTGTCTCATCCATTTGCTTAAGTGGAGCTTTGTTAGTGCATGCAGCCTGTGGCTAATCAGCCAGCTGGTGTTTCTGGTCGTAATCCAAGGCCCATCACGAAAGGCAGTCATCTGGACCCAATGTGCTAGCCAACTTTAGTTGAAAATTTTCCTTATTTTCATTTACCATGCTTAATAGGCTTAGGTCAGTTGTCAATTATTGTGAGTTGTCAATGATTAATTTACAGTTGTGAATGATTAATTTATTGCAAAATGTAAAGAAATGCAATCCTGTTAATAATGACGAGAATGATCATAACGTGATGAAAGTTTGACTGACAGCACAGATGGTGCTGGACGCAGAGGCGCTTTATTTTGGGAATTAATAGAAATCAAACAAATGGCGTAGTCCTTGAGGCCATTATAAATCAAAACTGACAAGACAAAACAATGGCGCGAATCAATAAACGTGACAGCAGAACAAAAATTGCATGTCTAGCATGTGGACCTTTGTGAGGTGATGGGAAGCAGACTCACAGCATTGGTGGAAATGGTAGAGATTTGGTACCCTCTGCCAAAGGATCAGTGCCACATACATTCTCACAGTGAAGTAAAACAAAAAGTTACGATATTTATTATTCTTGACGGTGCAATGCCTTGTTGGGGTAAAGAGGCCTGAGAGCCTTGTAGGCCTGAGTCACTGTGGTGGATAGGGGAACCCCATACCCCTCAGGTACTCCGAGATAGCCGAGATGAATTTCGTTCCCTTCAAAAACTCGCACTGACCAGCTTGGTGAAGTGGGGTCAAATCCTGGCCATGAGCAACACACCCGAACCACGGACCCTTTCTGTCTCTGACCTCCACTATATCTCACCCACTTTCCACCTCCTATCTCTCTCCCGTTACTCTCACCCTCACTCTCCTTATTCTCACGTCTCGTTTCCCCATCTCGATCTCTCTTGCAGCTCCCTAATCCATCACTGTCCTCTTTCTGTTTTGCTATCTTGTTGTCCTCTCTGTTTCATGCCCTTTCACTCTCTCCCCGCACTTGTCCATCTCTTCCTCCCTCCTCTGTCGCTCACCTCTCTCCTCGATCTCTCTCCCTCACCTCCATCCTCTATCTCAGACAGGACTCTAACCGGGTTATCCAGCCAGAGAGTTTTAGCCAATGTTGTAGTCGCAGGATTGCGAGGGGTGGTGGCGACCTGGGGGATGCTTTCATCTATCAGTGGATTGATCGTATCTGATGATAACGATGACAATATTTGCCACCACGTTAAATAATAGTGTTACTCATTCTATTTCCCTTGTTTCCTGGGTTTTGAATGGCATCCCTTGGGTCACGCTCCAAGGGCTGGAAGTCGTGGGGTTAGTGCACAAGGTGTCCAAAATGCAAGGGCAGTAGAATAACGAGCTTGGGGGCAGGAGGTGCCCTGCCACCCCTGGTGGCCAAAGCTACGAGTTGGGGCTCCCTTGACAACCACCATATTTTCAACAACAGTGTAAAATAACAGACAGGTATTTAAAAGACGGTTTACATTTGTTTAAGTTTTGATGGAAATGCTTTCATTTACATTCCACATTTATTCTTTCATTTCATGAGAGCAGTAAGACAAATCGAATATCGGGTGCCCCACCTAACATATTACCGCAACCCCGCCCCTCGCCCCCAACTGAGCTGAGAACTTAAGTCACCACACCGCTGTTCAATGGGATGATCACTTCAACGAGCCCGGATCTTGACAATGCCGATTGCTGCAGTCGGTGGTGGCGGGCGGGGGGGGGGGGGGTTTCATCACCTCGCACAAAAAGGTAGCTGCTGTGCTGCTGGGAGCTTCCGCGAGAGACGACGCGCAAGGTGTAAAGGCCCTCGTCGTCCTTGTGGAGGTGTGGCAGACTCAGGGTGGCCTTCTCTCCGCTCCAGTACGTCTGCGCCCACTGGGAGTCCACCACGCGGGCCTCTACATTCAGCACAGGAAGCAACAGGAGAACGGAGGACAAAGATCCCCCCCCCCCGCCACGTGTAGCCTGTAAACAGACTGGTAAAACAAGCGATTTGATGAGTGGCACCTATAGCGGCCGGCACGGTATACCACGGGGTGTGGGTGGCCAGAACCACACCTTCACTACTGCTCACACACACACACGTGTGCGCACAGAGACAAAGATACCCTTCATAGCCTCAATATCCCATACACACGCTTGTACACACACATACAAACACAGTACTTTTTTCTTAAAGCATTCCATGACACGTTATTGTGTTTCCGACATGATTGGTTTAATTGTTCACTGCAGAGCTGTATTATTTTCTGCACTGGAGAATAATTGTGAACTTTTCTCATTCAGTGCTATATTTGGCATACAACATGCAATCATTTAGAATGATCAATATGCCACGTTGAAAGATATGATGCAATAATACAAATCAGAACTTTAATCCGAATTTGATAATACATCATCGAACAAAATGTATCCCCATCATCAGCCATTGCATATCCACTGTTGAATCCCATAATGTTACGATCCTTTATGGTCCTGCGATGCCACAATCCATCTTACTCCTGTGAACGGATTGATGTCATCACTCCATCTATATGGTGGCACATTCTCTGGTTCTTTCGGTAAAGTCACGTAGGTATGAAATAAAATAAATCACGACATTTCGATTGCAACACAAGCGGTCGTCCTCAGGTGGAAAAAATATAATCCAGCAGTGGAACTGCTGAACAAACGAGAAAGCCGTTACAACAAGGCTATATATATGTGGCGATGGGCAAGCAAGTGGGGTCTGAGCTGGAAAGGAATTCCATCCACGGACGCAAGCACGTCAGTTGTGTTAATGGGGGAGATTAGGGACAGAGGGACTAGGGAGAGAGATTAGCATGGAATGAGCTTCCGTCGCCGCATAAAGAGTATCATGCCCGCATATGTGCATAACAGCAGTGTTAATGAGAGATTAGCACCATGAGACTGCAATCCAAAGGACGGGAACATGAGGGTGCAATCCAAAGGGGCATGTGAGCCTAAGAGGTGCAATCAAAAGAACGGGAACATGAGGGTGCAATCCAAAGGGGCATGCGCTGCCATTCTGTCGCCACTTTCTCCTCGTGGACCATCCTTCTTGCGATGCGTTCGGCCCAAGGCCACTGATTTATCTGTACAGTAAGTATGCCTCTCATTTGCACGTACTCCGTGAAAAAAAAATGTACTCTAATGTAAAGTATTGTGAAGGTTAATATGTACACAGGTATGTCCATTCAGCAGCAAACCGCACGATTAGCACCGCTGGCTATGTATGGTGCGAGAAAAAAAATCGACATAACTGAATGTCAGCACGATTCACATGCGAAGATGACATAGCTATTCTCAAACACATTCTGCAAGCATCTTGTGGTGGTCAGCAATCAAAAAGGGCCGATTAGCACGGGTTGGCTACGTATGGTGCCAAAGAAGTTCCATGTACATACAGAAATGCAACAAGATAATTGTATACCGACTTAAAGCTTTCGTGACTGCAGGAATACATATTCTTTGGGTCTTTCGGTAAAACCACGTAGATAGAAAAATAATTTAAAAAAATATCACGACGTTTCGATCGCAACACAAGCAATTGTCATCAGGTGAAAAAAATATAGCGGGAGAGCTACTGAGGCAGGAAAAAATATAGCTGGAGAGCTGCTGAGGCAGGATGTTATAAAGGTCTGAGATGGGTGTAGCCCAAGGGTCATAACTGAAGTGGGCGGGGCTAGAGATGAAATTTGCATGTCAATGTAAGATCAGAGAGCTGAGCTACCTCCACGACGACGAAGCTGTGGAGGTGGCCATTGTATTGTGAGAGATTAGCATGTCAATGTAAGAAAGACGAAAACCACCGCCACATCGAGGAAAACGAGCAACGGTGGCACGGTTCAAGAGATATTTAGCCTGTTAATGTAAAGACGAGCCTGCTTGTCTCGAAATTTGTTAAAATATCTAATAGCTGTGTGAAAACCCTCCCCGTAGAGGCGGTTAAATCTTGACTGAAAAGTTTTCGTGACTACAGGAATTCATATTCTTTGGGTCTTTCGGTAAATCCATTTACATACAAATTTCATCTCTAGCCCCGCCCACTTCGCTGATGACCCTTGGGCTACACCCATCTCAAACCTTTATAACATCCTGCCTCAGCAGCTTTCACGCTATATTTATTTTTTTCTGCCTCAGTAGCTCTCCCGCTATACTTTTTTCACCTGTTGACGATTGCTTGTGTTGCGATCGAAACGTCGTGATATTTTTTTATTATTATTTTTCTTCTTTCTACGTGGCTTTACCGAAAGACCCAAAGAATAATAATTGCATACCGGTTTTTATCATTGTTACGACTCATGAGCAGAGGACTTCATCATTATTATGACTACTGTCATAATTGCAATTACACTATTAGTACGGTTATTTAAATGAGCTCACTACAAAATTGGAGACGGATAGTATGGAGGTGGTGACAGGTAAGCTCCACTATGCAATATGCAATTAGAGAGCGAATAACACGTGATCCATCATGCAGTTTGCCATGTGTGTAATACAAATGTTTCATACCAGAACTTTTATTTCACATTCTCAGTGTCACTACACATTCCACAAATGATAGCCTCTGCAATTATTAAAATGGATTTCCACCGCGTGTGTTGCGCATCACAATTGTTATGGTCCAATTAAAAAAAGTGAATCCTACCCAGGGATGTCACTGTCGATAATTGCACCCTTCGTGCCAACAACCTTTGGACCACGTGGATTGTTTTTGACTAGGATCAATCTGGGTATGTATAAGTGTCCGTATGCTACGACGTTTATGTGTTTTTTTGTCTTTGCATTGTGTGTGTTTACACCTACATCTGTAATGCCAAGGAAAAAAACCTAACGTGTAGACATGGGTATGGTACATTGTCGTTATGTGCACCACATCCTAATAACACCATGAGACAAACCCTGGAAAATTTAAAGTAGTACTTCACAATAATTAGGACTCGTCCTCAACCATAATAAGACATGGGCTTAACTAAACTAGATCCCTCACATTAATTACCAATACCACGCATTCTATTCTACAACACGTAATGCGTCAGTAATCGCCATTGAAGTCATCACATAAAAAAAAACTTTTAATTGATTAATGCATTGGAAATGCACAATTTACCAGAATGTCACTTGAAAAGCTTACACATACTATTCTCATAGAAACATATCTGGACCAGAAATACACCAAGGTAATTATCAATAGAAAATTGTCTAAAATGAGATGAATACTCATCAAACATTGCTATTCAATGCATGTCGTTGTTGTCAAAGTATATATTATTTTAAAAAGTGCGTTGGTCTGTCGCTTTTTAATAATTTCTGATCTTTGTTCAAAACATATTTTCGTTAAATAGGAACGAGCATATATAATTTGTTTTTGTGTTTAGAACTACTTTGGTGTTAATTTTGTTGTCCTTCCCCTGCACCGCTGATTAGCACGATTGGCTTTGGCTACATACGGTGCGAAAGAAGTTAAACGTACATAAATGCAATGTGAAATATGTTTACTCATGCAGTGATATCCAAATTACTCTTGTATTATATATAAATAGTTACGTTTCCCCAATTATAATATATATGTATTTACAAAGAGTTGAAGGATGACAATATTTGTTGAGAACTCTTATATTTGTTCTTGCATTTCCATCAAATAATGTTGCTTGGCCTGCATGTATATTAGCAGGCAAAAATCACAAACACATGACGTTGACTTGTTCAGCCTATAACAAACTTGAGAGTCGCGTAAAGCAACGTAGAATGAAATACTGTATATCAGATAATGGTGCATCTCTGTAACCAATTGCTCACGTCACTGCAGGCGGACGAGCCTCCATGAGAGGGAACTCTAGAGAACCTATCTAGAGGGCATTTAGACCTTCTCTTCCATACTGGGCAGACCTCTTGGAAGAGGTGGCATACCAACATATTACCCCACGACACGTGACCGATCAATTAATCTGTGGTGTACCCATGCCGTGCCAGGGAGGTCGAAACAAGCCAGTGACCCCTGGATAGCAAGTCCAGCCTGCTTTAGCGTGATACCAAGGCAACATGTCCAAACACAGAAAATCCACTCATAATGCCATACTTGGTAAGAACTAGAGTAAATAGCGGATAGGATCGTTGTCCCGATATAATAACTGATTGAAGTTGTGCTGGTCACTCTGGTGTATCCAGAATCCCCAAAAGACCCTCGGATATATATACCTAACAACATTTTCAGGCAACTTTGGTTTGTATGAACGAACCTACATTGCTGTATACCCGCTTGGGAGAGTTTGATCGAGCACTCGTGAAAAGTAGTCAAAGATGGATGGATTTTGTCTCTGAGCCAAACTAATGGACATTAGCATCTAAGTGACCTTGAAGTTCACAATTATTTGAAATTCCATAACACAGCGAAATGTCTCGAGCTTTGTTTATAAAAAGGTAAAACTAAAATAAGCAGGGTGGTTTTAAGGGTAGATTTGTTTTCATTTTTCATTGCACTGAATTGTGGTATTTGCAGCAAAGGCATACTGGATACAAGTGTAAATAAACTTTAAATGATTACATATGTTAATGTGACCAGACAGTTATATTGAATATCAGTGCACAGGCCCTTGGCCTAGTTTGTATTCACAGAATGGGTCAATAAACTGAAGACAAATGTCGCCTCATTGAGACAAGCAGTGTCTGCGCTGTTAAGAAGCAGAATGTGCATCTGTCACCATGAAACTCACATTTTAAATACTAATTTGATGAGTTATATATGCTGCGTATACCATATCTTTGCCACCTATATGTAAAACACAGTACACGTGGACAGTTTGGTTTGAAATTTTAAATAAATATTGAGAATCAGGGAGATCTTAATTTTCATCATAATCAGCCATGGTCAATCCACTCCTGCGCGAAGGCCTGCCCAAGTGGCTGTCATCTCTTATAATCGCACGAAGCGAATAATCCACCTCGTACCCACGCATGCCTTCGACTTTTCACGGGGCCTCAGTAGAAAACACAACAGCGGCATCCAGAACAGCTCGCAATAATAGCATAGCACTGGCGACGGGGTAGTGTTAATATCAACGCAACAGCTGCTGCTGCATTGCAGGACGCACACAGACGCAACAACTTAGACTTCTCCTAGGTAGGCGAATAGCACCGTTGGTCGTCTGGGTTAAAGAGCCCTGACTTACACTGTGTTAACATGCGAACAAACAGATGCCCCACTGTGAAGATAGCAAACACTATCCCAATTGATTCGTGTTCTGCAGTTAAGTGTCTGCCTGAGGAATGAGGGCTGCTCGTTTCAAAGATCAATACATTATTTGACTGTTGCTCTCATGTGGACAAGGGTGTGCACTCTTCTCATACTGTTTGGCTAGCACAGCTCAGCTGACTAAGCCATGGACATTTTTTTCTATTCATTTAACTGTTTGCGTTATGTAAAGTAGTTTGCCGAAACTGTTAAAACAACCGTGCATGTCTATTGAACTTTTTTTCGCACCGTGCGTAGCCAACCGTGCAACTGGAGCTTGGGTGTGAATGCAGGGCATATCCAAATAAATCTGATTCAGTGGACAGCTCCTAGCAGGCTGCCTAATTGATGTCAAGATACTAAGTGGGATCGAAAGAGACTGTCAATTATTGTGCGTATTGCAGTGCAGTCGGTGCATGACAAATTGACGTGGAAATCCCTTGCTATATGAGTTTGCAAAAGGGATTTAACACATGTTCTCTACGAAAATAATTTGATGCGTTCTAAAACAAGTGATGTACCGTGTCATATTCTATGCGGCACCCACGATGCAAAACCTATCCCGGTGCCTACACAAAAAATGTAACACAATTACATTTGATAGGTTTCAAATATATATAAATATCAGAAATATAATTTTTTCTGTGATAACTTACATGTTAAATTAAACGAATTCTTTTGGATATACATATTATTTGGAGGTGATATCTGCGTGAGGATTTTTCTTGTACATTGTGAGTTTTTTTCCCCATTGCAAGTCGATTAGCATGGTTGGCTACATATTGTGCGAAAAAAGTTCAACATACATACATGCAATAACGTGCGTGTGCACCGCATTCCATAAAACAACATAGTTTTTGCGTAATCTAGACTTAAAAGACCCCATACCAAGGTATTAGGTTGTTATTTCAATGAAAGTACAATTGCATTTAAGTGTGCTGGACCGTTTAGGATTGTTACAAAGATGTATGTGCCAGTTGAAGTGATGGAAGGTTCTTCAACTCACCCAGAAATGCATGAAGTCCATGTGCACTCACATTTGAGACTGCGTTACCCTTTATAGGTTATTTACCCCCTCACGGTGCGTCTCTCTGCCATTCTAATCACCCAAGTGTGATTTGAGAATGTCCTGAGCAACCCCTCTTATTTCGATCGCGCATCTCTTCACTACTCCCGTATCGGACCCGTGGTGTGCTCACCGAGGCAAGCATTCGCCCTCATTACATTAAATGTTAAATCAGTCCACAGACGGCTGCCTGATAAGAGTCCTGTTTTGCACAAGATATTTTTTTGGGAGAGGCAGAATTGGGTGTTAGTTCAGCGATGCATTACAGATTGAGAATATAGGATTTTTCTTTTAACTAGTAGCTCTCTGTTGAGTGTCTTGATGTCAAGCAATTACTGATGCACGTGTGCAGTAATATGCTTGGCCAAACAGTATTGGAACAGTTGCACTAGTTTTCCAATTTCGCGACTCCTAGCTAAAGCGAGTTGCATGATTCAAGCGGTCGCGTATTAGTTTGCAGAAACTCCAGTCGCCACATCGTCAGTAATTTAGCATTTGCTGATGAGTAAGGCTATGCTTTTGTCATGGTAATGTTTTGTAAGTTTTTACACTGAAAGTTTTTTTTTTTGGGGGGGGGGGACCGATCATTCATAGCAATATCAGGAAATAAGGTGGGGCTGTGAATGTACGGAATTGTATTCTCAGCACACGACGTACATAATGTTTGAATGGAAGCACCTAATCTTTCTTTCTCCAGCAATTTCCAAGTTTTCACCGACTTCATTAAATTCCACAATTCCCGTGACCACCAGGACCTCTAAGCCATAAGTATAGCCTTACCTATGAAGAGGTTAGTTGACACAAAACGCAATATATCGCTGGATGCAACGCACCCTGTCCAATGAGAATAAAATGCAGAATCTATGCAGAAGCCAACATGGAAAAGCCCTCCATCAAAAAAGACCCATTATCTTGAAAATTAAATGTATGCAATTGAAAGTAAAAGTGTTTAAATAATTTTCAGCCATTTCTCAATTCACTTCTGGATGAAGGTCTGCGAACACTTTGTCAGTGCAGGCCAAGGACCAGTTCAAGTATCACTTGCCAGTGACGCTAGCCATGGCTGAGAAATTAAGTTGGGATGCCAGATTCATGGGGGGGGGGGGGGGGGGGGGGGGGGGTGGATACACCTGCCTTTGTATCAAAATAAATACATTGTATGAGTTTGTATGGATCATTAGAGATCGATTGTTTTGTAATGATCTAAATGGATCATATTGTGAAATGCATTCCCATATAGTCAACACACTATACATACTTATATATGTTTAATTTCTCAGAACACATTCATATATATTAGGTTACATAGAGCTTCATAAATAAAATGTCAAGTCATATAAAACTGCGATATCAAATAGTCAACATTTTAGACGTATATATTTTATAAGTTTCATTTCTTACAACACTTTTATCTGTTAGTTTACATAGCGCTTTATAAACATGACATGCGCCATATTTGTGCATTAAAAAAGGACCGTATTTTGTTGTATCATCCTCACTGTCCTGAAATTTCGTGACCATTTTGTGTGGACGCGTGAATGAATACCAATGTGGAACTAACCTGAAACCTAGTTATTTCAGACCTACAATTTTTGCCAATTGCCTTAGACTCGTGACCCGGCATTAAAGGGTAACAGGTTGTTCAGAAATGAACAAGGGCAAAGGCTATATAAAGTGGTGTTCATCTTTAATCTGGCTGCATCAATTCACACAGCTGTGTGTGATTCTCCATCTATGCCTCCATCTGTTAGCTATGGCATACAATTTTATAACCCCGATAAGTGTAAATCTTTACTATGCATCAATCGCCGTGAAGATTTACACATACCTTACACAAGCGTGATAACAAAAGCCTGTACGGTGCGATTTGATGTTCATGGTGGGGAGTTGGGGAAGGGAAGAGAGGAAAGGAGAAATGTCCTCCTGGTGTGCTCACCATCACGCCACCATTGCATTTCGGGCTGGAAGCGCTTGAGGTTCGGATGCAGAAGCACCTTGCAACTCAGCGTGACTCCCTCACCCTCTTGCCCAAAAGAGACGTCAAACTTGTCGAAGATTGTGATGTCGACTTTGGTGTAGGGAAGGGGCGGAAGGGGCGGAACTGAAAGAACGAAAAAATGCACAAATGTGGCACATTAGGAATGGAACACTCTTTTAATGATTTCCTCGTGCAGCAAGGGAATAAAGTGTGGTTTTGGGAAAGTCCTTATGTGCTGTGCAGTACATCAATGCACGTGTGTACACCAGCATGCGATAACTGATTTGGGCCTGTGGGTGGCTGGCAGGGTTATTGATTAACCGTACACCAGTCACGTGGTAAATGGCGACTCGGTTGAGGATTGCCGCGTGTGACACCACGTGCTGTTGCATTTAACAGATTTACCACAATAAATATGTTTGCCCTCGATTTGGCGCACCTGCCCACGTCCTTCATTTCGAGAGTGCAATACAAAAACACACACATTTGGATGTTGGCAGTTGTGTGGCTTTTCATTATTTTGAGTTATAAACCCACGTGCTTGGCTGGCCATCGAACAAAGACGGCCACTGAATTGGGCGCTTTCGCATCGCGCTTCTGCGGCCGCCTGGAACGCTCTCTTCCTTCCAATATTTGGAAGCCACTGGAGCTATGCAATTTAAATCATATAGATTGAAAACCCCCCTGCTCCTCCGTTTACCGTGCTTGGCTACGTACAGTGTGAAATAAGTTTAACATCGATACGTACATTTGCAGATGTTACATGAAATGCAGTACTTGATGAATTGAGGCATTTGTGATTTTGTGCGATTTCATCCTAAATGTGTTTGTTTGTTTCTTTGTATTTGCGGTCTGTACTTTTTAGATTCTCACTGGGCCCCCCGTGACCGTGTGCTGATTGGATAATAATATGCAATCATGTTATTTGATATTTATGCAAATTAAATGAAAAAAGATGTTCGATGACTTTGCTCACAGGAAGACAACATCGTGTGCCAATGTATGGACCAAATATCAGTACATATTGAGCCACAAAATAATAATATTTTACTCTTCCCCCAATGCTCAACAGGACAATATGCTCCAATATTAAGCAGGTAAATGGGACATTCCCATGCACACAAAAGAATGGTAACATTTTGCTTGAATTTAATGATGGTGAACATTACACTTCTGCTGTGTGAAGGCCTGCTTATTAGACTCGAGTGCCTTTACAGTACCTTAAGAATATGTTAAATCGGCATGTACTACCTGCTATGACATGGTTCAAAAAAATGGTAAATTATGAAACATATAGGAGCAAACACTAAAAAGTATGCTAAAAAGCGTGGAGAGATGCATACTTGGAATTACATCGAGAGGCAGAAAGAGGAACACGTACTACAGAACAAATACGCAAGTACATTACAACTATTAATAAAAGTAAGTAGGCATGAGCAAGACTTGTTGCTATGAGGAATGATGGCCAGTGTTTAAGGATTATAATGTTGTGTCAGCCAAGGAGTGTAATGTGTCTGAGAGATCGCCCACGGGGGAGATGGAGTGCTGAGATGAGTTTTTTTCTGCTGGTGCTGGATGGCTTATTGCATTGCAGGATTCCGAGAGGTGGTGGCAGTTTGGAGAATAGTGAACACAAATAATAATGCACACACACTGAAGAGGCCTTCAATCCATAAATTTGACTGATCATGGCTAATGATGATGACGATGATTATGAGGATGTGTAATTCTCACTATGAATGGGGAGCCATACAGATCCAGGCTGAGCAAGTTCAGCTTCTCCTTGATATCCTAAGAGGTTGGAAAAAAATACAAATGTACAAACTTTAAATAAGGCAGCAGCCACGCAATGATTTATATAACGATAAAAAACTATCAATGTGGTGGATCCCCATTTAATACACACTTTTAACGACCAACGTAGCGATTGTTGATGCTTCTCCATTAACATTCATGGCGAAGGCTTCGTACTGTGCAGTGTCATCCAAATCGCATCTGCAAATGCAACACAGCATGAGGTATTGGTGATCATGCACATACATACCAAGTAGAAAGTTTACATTTGCAAACCATCACATGGCATAAACCGTTCCTTTTTTTTCGCAGACAAATGTATTGACCAATCCAGTTAAATAGCATTTGACGAGAATAAATGTTGCATACAATCGGAAAATGTGGATTTTGTGCAGGTGTTAATATGGGCTTTTGAATGCATACTTCCTTTTTTTTCCATCAGCCATCTCAGAAATGTACTTTGTTTAATGCATTCAACCACGAAGGCCAGCAGCCATATGAATAATGCACACAAACTGTCCAGATGAATGACAAATCTCATTTCTCAGCTTAGCATGCACAACGTGAAGCCTAACAGCGAGACCACTTCATTTAATTTCAATTACGCGTTAATTTACTACGATAAATATACTATATATAGTCAAATTACGTGCTGCTGTAGCATTATACAGGGTTGCCCAAAAGTCAGGACACATAGGGTTATATTTATTTTAACAGAGAGTTATATTTTTGAGTTAAAGCTTTCGTGACTGCAGGGATTCATATTCTTTGTTCTTTCGGTAAAGTCACGTAGAAGGGAAACAATAACATAATACAAATATTATTAGAAGGGAAACAATAAAATAATAAAAATAATAAAAATATTTTTTTATTGTTTCCCTTTTACGTGACTTTACCGAAAGCACCAAGAATACAGAGGGTTATTTAATTTATTTTAACAAATGTTCAAATTGACTCCCATTAACATGAATGTACGCATGAATTCTCTTTTGAAATGAATTTGGGACTTTTTTTGTAACATTACAGGTGTAATCTTTGAACGTTCATCGATTATGTTTTGTCTCGATGCATTCTGGGTTCTTGGTCAAGTTTTGCAAGCGACAAATTTGAGGTGTTCCGCACAGTAGGAAGAAAAATAAACATTAATGATAACAGATAAAATATTAACTTAAATAATGAACCAATTGTTTTTTTTTAAGCCAGTGTTAAAATCAAATAAATAACCATGTGCCCTGACTTTTGTGCTACCCTATGTATACTATGCGTTCAATGTTATGTTTATACATATGTTAAGTAAATCATGACAAATGTATTAAATTGTAATGATTGCAAATTGGAAAAACAAATCGTGTCTTTTTGTTTTCGTAACACCATCATCGCCATCATCGACCATGGTAAATCCACTGCACACCAGCTGATTTCATCACTCCAATTTCATCGGTGGGATATCCTCTTAGACAATTTCAATTCCAAATATGCCAAGTTATGCTCACAGTGACCCCTATGAAGCGAGCTTTCTCATACTTTTTAATTTTAAGCCAACATCTCGTGCGCAAAAAAATAACATCACAATAACTGACTAAAGTTATAAGACTGCTCGTGAAACTAAATTAAATTAAGCCTGGTATCTAACAAAAAAAACGTGCCAACTGTGCTTCTAGTACAAACACTATGATGTAAAAAATACGTACTCATTCACACTAATTAAGTCATGTGATCGGCAGGCTGCATGAGGTGGGGTAGCGTGTGGGCACTCCCGCCTGTTTCAAGATGCCTGATCAGTTCCAAGTTACTAATTCATAACTTATCAGGATGGCATAGCAAAACAATCAGCACTTTTTTTGGCAATTGATTTTGTTTTACAGAGCCTTCAGCAGAGATGGGATATCGACAGGCCAGTGTAATTGTTTGTGCACGGCTCCTAGTCTTGTTCCGTAGCTACGTACAACTTCACACCTAAGGCAACTGCTGACAAATGTTCCTTTGTAAACTGCCTCTGTTTCTTTCACGCAATTTCCATGCGTACTAACATTGTACAGGAAGTACCATATGGGTACATTTTCGTTTCTGAATAAATGTAAAACACTTTTTTACCTCCTATCTGCTGATAACAATGACCATGGTTATGATGTTATAAATACATTGATGACGTTTTATGATGATTGAAAGTTACATGTATTAAAAATCTAAGTTCGTCGTGCATTATGCTTGAAAAAAAGCAAATACATATGGCATGCGTTTAAAAAAAATGTACATCGGGAATGAAATATGCCCGAGAAGAAGTCATTCGGGCAGATAGAGCAATTACATCTGTTATCTCAAGGATCGTGAGAGGTGGCAGATGCTTGAGGAGGCCTTCATTCAGCAGTGGATTGACCATGGCTGATGATTATTATGACCCATACGTATTTTGAGAAAATAATTTTACCATAACATGCTCTTTTAAAGATGTTAATTATGCTGTTCACCACGAACTTTAGCATTATGTTTAAAAAAAATTAACGTATAAAATATCTAGAGAAATTATCAGAAAGTCTAGCAATAAAATGGACTTCCAAGCAGTAAATATCTGTTATTGTTTCAGCTGCAAGTGCATAGATGGGGACTATAAGACATCCCCGTGACACACAATACCAGCCTATTAATTTATCACATCTTAGGATCTTTTGCAGCCCTTACGGGGCTTCGCAAGGTGCGAGAAATTAATTCAGGAGTGATATATTTCTTGTAGAGATGTTTCACATGTCTGATCCCTCCTTGGGCCTGCCACTCTTCCATTGGCTCCCCTGTGCCTCGCCTTCAACAGTTCTGTCAGCTCATTAGACGTGGCACTTTGCCTGTTTCACCCTTTTAACCCCTTTACCTACCATAGCACGGTTGTGCAAGACCCTAATTTCAGCCTCTTTAGCATTTGAACTGAGTGGCCAACACGTGTATATGTAATATGGCTTTCTTCCAATGGCAGCATAACAACACCAGCTTCTCCAGTGCAGTGTGCTTTGCCGCAAACACCATTCTACTTCAAACTCGTTTGTATTTAATAGATACCGACACACAGGTGACAGTACAAATACGAACGTAAAATACCATCATAATAATAAAAGCAAATTCACTAAAAGATGTGTACGCATTAATTAATGGATTAATTGGAAATCAGTAGCGGTGCTTAATGTCGGCATCAGACTTGAAGTCATTGCATATAACAAAAACTCAAACTAAATGTCCCTTCAACGCTAATGATAAACACGATGCAGTGAACAGCGCAGATTAGGTATCGGGTTAAGTTCTGGCACTTATTACACGGAGTTGCGAGGGTGTCAACACCATGTTGGGAATAGAGCCCAAGAGCCGTGACAGCTATGCGAGTGATTGTAAGGAACGTGCAAATAGATCGGCAGATGTGCTTTACAAACACACATCGGGTAACACGTTAATAGTGATGTGTTTTATATTCTTGGACGAAAGTAGATATGTTTTAGAAGGCTTAAATATTGAGTTCACGTTCAAATCCGCCAATATAAATAAAGGCCTTGTTTTATTTGTATGTATGATTTGTAATGGCCGCAATATGTATTTATAGACTCAATTGAGTTTATTATGACTAGCGTGCTTGCCAGTGAAGCAATTTGCAAAAGTATGTTCAGTCTAGCCGCTGCATGCCAGTGCTGCTTACGCCAAAAGGTCATGATTATGTTAATGACCTTGTGACATGATTCACAAGAGTAGTTCATTGTGTAGCGCTGCCAATAGCTGTAATAAGTGTCTCCTTTTCTTTTGCTTGCGATCAAATGCAAGACAGCCCATCCCTTTGCCACAGGGCCACAAGAAAACTACTGGCACGTGGATGTCAGTGTTTCATGCACGATTTATATATCTCTATCTCATTGCTGTATAAACATCACTGTAGAGTATAGCAAAGTAAGGTGTATGCCGGGGAAGCGTTCGTGAACGGCGCGACGAGGAATGACGTAGAGAAGCAAAGCAGATCAATTTACGGGGTAGGTGGCGGAGGCGAAGGTTGAGAGGCGACAGATACGATAAAGGGCGGACGATGCCGTCAGCGACGAAAGTGTGGGTTGAGGCGACGCAAATCGGGCAGTGATAGCAATAATAAAGCGACGACGGATTGCGAAACGACGTAAAAGTGGCAGATGGTAATTGGGGTATTACCGCATATAGTTTGTTGGCTGCTAGAAACACGTACGATGAGCAATAAAACGGAATTACTGTTGAAATGCACGTATGGTGTTGTATGTAGCCAACCGTGCCAATCGGAAGTGCGGGAGAAGAAACATAAATACAAAAAGCAGTTCTAAAGAAATTAGTTTTCAAACTAGATTTAAAAGTCCATAGCTCCAGTGGCTTTCCAATTTTGAAAGGAAGAACGTTCCAGACGGCCGCAGAATCGCACCTGAAAACGTGCGATACAGTGACGTCTTTGTGTCAAATGTGTCAAAGAAGGGTAGGGGGGAGGGGGTATTTTCACATTCATGTTGAGATACAGAAAGAAGAACACAGTGTCAAGTGGGCTCAAGCAGGACACGTAACTAAGAGGGTTGATGGCCGGTGGTGAAGGCTAACAACAGGGTGGAAGCCAAAGAGAGAGCGCCCCCGAAAGGAGATCCACGGTGGAGATGGAGCGATTAAATCAGCTCGCGTGCAGCAGCTATATGGTTTCGTGGCATCGTGAGACCATGAGAGACAATGACGGATTGTGGAGGTCTTCGTCCAGAAGTGAGTAGATCACAGCTGATGATCATCATCATATCTCAATCCTGCTTGAGTGGTATATATATTTAGCAGTGCTATTCTGACATTACTGCCAAGGCCAAAGCAAGTACATTACCATTACTTCAGCAGGCTGGATGCCGGTAAGGAAACAGTGCACTCAACTCAAAATGTATTTCATTAACATAGTTTTGGCCACTCAACACTTGGTCTTTACATTCCTCAAGATATATCAGCATGTGATGGACGACCGATGCGGCAGGCCTCGTGATTGTCCCTGTTTGGCCTCATTTAAAACAAACTTACAACTCAGTGCCGTAGATTAACTAGCGGAGAGTGGAAATTGCGCTATCTGATCACAAGCCTTTGACAAAGAGCCCCTATGCTTCGTCTCCGGGTATTACTTGCATGGGCTACGTGCCGTGCATGTCGAGCAGCAGTGTGCCGACTAATGCGTTTGAGAACGAATTTGTTCTGACTTGTCCGGCTTGCAAGTTAATGACTGTGATGTCATGGAAATGTCACCGTTACCAGCCACCGATATTCTCAGGTGTGCATGTTACATTGCCTAGATGTCGAAAACAGCATGCACCGGGTGATTATTTTTTTGGAGGGGGGGGGGGCAGCTGTCGTGAACGACAGGCATGGATGGGGTCAAGTCCTCATTTTTTGAAGAATTCTTCATTTCACGAAAACGCTATTTCTCCTTCCAAAGCCGCTCCATCCAAGGAAGCATACCAAAAAAACAATAAAATTATTTGCCTTCAATAAATGTCCCCCGGCGTTTAAACAAAGCCAAGCCACGGTTTAAATTAACGTAACGACACATGCTCATACGCAGGAGTGAAACTATAATTAACAATATTTCCACACTATGCCTACGAGTGCGTTTTTGTTTACTTGCCAGCAACAGTCCCCACGAGTTGCACATACCAACGTGCATCCATACAGGTCAGAAGCAGGGCTAGTTCTCCCTCACCAAAACAGAGATGCGTTGACCAATGCAAGGTGAAAATGTCACCCGGTTTTGGGCGTCCTCTGGTCTAACACCGTTTTAAGACGAGGCTCAAAAGAAAGCTGTCTCTGGTGTGGACCAATTAGTTTCAAAGACAATGCATTTATTATCAGAGTACGTTTTTTGTTTGCATTCTGACCACAAGCATTGTGGTTAATGCAGACATGATTCCTTGTAAAAGGTTTCAGTTTGGTGTTTTAACATCTGAACACCTACTTTGTTGCCAGAAAAAAGGGGAAAACTTATTCTCATAGCAATATGTTATTTTCCAATTTTATACTGTTTGGGTCTTTCGGTAAAGTCACTTAGATAGAAAAATAATAAAATAATATTCATCATTATTTTATTTTCGGTAAAGTCACGTAGATAGAAAAATCATATAATATTTTTTTTTCTATCTACATGACTTTACCGAAAGACCCAAAGAGTATGAATTCCCGTAGTCACGAAAGTTTCAAGTAAAAATTCCTATTTTAGTTAGATACTTCAGGTGAGTGTGTACACTTTGCAGGATATACCATTGAGAATAAACATCTCATTTCGAAGGACAGTAATCATGGTAAGGTGATGCCAAGACATTCATTCCACGTAACATTTAATAATATACATATAATAATAAAAATTTTGATTTAAAGCTTTCATGACTGCAGGAATTCATATTCTTGGCTCTTTCGGTAAAGTCACGTTGAAGGGAAACAATAAAATAATAAAAATATAAAACAATAATTCCCTTCTACGTGACTTTACCGAAAGAACCAAGAATATATATAATAATTAAGCAAATAGTTAAGATATACAACATCGGTCCAGCATAGATAAAGTCAATCAACAGTTACGTTCAGGTAAAACGTACGGATTAATAGTTAATTGCAACTCACCTGTTAATTTCCAACGTGTACACACCATAGTTGCCATAAACTTCATGTTTCCCAGCACTGCAGCGCGGATCAATCTGGACGTGGTTTTTGTACCTTCAAAGATAAAGGAGGGGGCCAGCGGTGGCATGCGGTGTTCATAACCACAATGCGCTCTATGAACCTCCTAATGTGAGTTTGATTTCTGTCCCTGGCTCTCATCAGTGTCGAGTGATATCTGAACAAGTTCTGGGGTCTCCCCTCTTCAGCAAAAAACCCACAATGGACAGCGTGAAGTGTGGTCAAAGAATCCCCATAATTGACATTGCGTGGTCTAAATTATTATTCATTTGAGGGGAAGCAATGTCAACGCCAACATAATATCAAAATGCCTCCACATTTTAATTCGACCAAAACTAAGCTGCTAATTAGTTGCATTGTTGTCAAAACAAACGCGAATTAAATATGACCAGCTCATCTAACAACATTATTCATCATGCTATTATATAATTATTATTTTTATTTTAGAACGATTAAAATTCGTAATAAATTGTCTCTATTAGGCAACGTCCTTTCTGGAATTTTTGTATACAGTACAGCATTTGCAGTGGTGGATGCAACGGGCATAATTAATAATGAACTTAAATATTACCCCCTTGCATTTAATAGTAACCATATAGTGAGTTGGTTCTACGTTATGCTACAACGCGCGAACTCTATAAATGCGATGAATGAGAATATAGCAGCAAACATTACTCTCATATGCAGAGAATGTGGGTCCTTTCGACTGTCTTAACCAAGAGGTCACTTGAATGGCTGTTCTCTCAAATGAAGGGGTTGCATTGTTCTATGAGAGATCGTCATTGATAGTTCACCTCATCGCGCGATGCTGATAGCACAACAGGGATAACATTTCTTGTAAAATAAAATCACAAAAATAAAAAAAGGAAAACGTGGAGAACACAACAACCATATTTGTTTAACACCGTGACTACAAATGCTGGTTAAGTGAATTCTAAAAATAAACATTGGTTCGGGCACTTTAATGGAGATTTATGCATGTGCTGGATCATGGGAGACCGGCCTGGTGGTGGAGCTGCAGCAGTGGAAGGCCTCTCACTGAGAGGCAATGATGGGGAGAATTGATTCCAGGCCGCATTGTGCTGACGCTATTGTTAAGGAATCAACTTCTCAAAATAAAGAAAATGACTCCCGTTATTGTAATCCATTCTCGCTATGAGCACCAAAAATGATTCTCCTTCATCATTTTAACACTTCGCTTTGTTTGTTTTAAAGGCTATTCAGTGTTTCATCCAAAACCGATTTGTCATGTTAGCCTGGCTGTAAATTATTTTATGAAGTCAACAGAGTCCTGGCTGGAGAGAGCAGAGTGCCATAAAAGAAAACCCGCCAAAGTACAATTTTACGAGCATACTCAGCTCCTCATTATGGCATTGACAGCAAGGCAAGTGCATGAGTATTGATCGGCAATCTCCCATGTGCCTTGGCTTAATTAGTACAATCACAGCTATTGTTCTGTTCATTCCCAGATGGTGGGCCTTGATTATGTGACTGACTGACACAATGTAGATTAAAGCTCAGTTATAGGCCTTATCTGGGATTTTCAAAGTAAAGACGTATAGCGGTGGAGGGAATCAAAAACCGACTGACAGATGGCAAACAGTGATGCATCATCTCTTGTGCAATGTACCCTCTGTGGCCGGCATTCTGAATCTTCACAACATGTGCCCAATTGATGTTGATGTGCTGCAGCTTGGAGAATGAGTAGTGCATTGTTTGCACTGATTAAAATGCAGGATTGTTTATTTCAACAACTCATGCACATTGTGGTATGCAATCCTGAATAACCGTTAAATTAAAACGGGTTCACAATGACTGCGCTTGTGCAATGTTAGACAGAGAAAAGGCTCCACGTTGATAATAGTGTAAAGGATAAAGGTGCAGCCCTGCAACTGTTGCTTGCACGACTGGTCACAGAAGGGCCTCCACTAGATGGACCTCAGGAGAGGGCATTTGGCCTACTCTTCCATTCTGACCAGATGTCTTTACTTTTTGGTTCTTTCCGATGTCTTTAGTGAGAGTACCCACACGTTACCCAACTGCATGCACGATTGCTGATCGAATAACTGGAATGCACGCCGTTTATACCTTCGGGTGGACAGAGGCGAAGTTATATAAGTAACAATGCCTTTATTTCTAATGACAGGCCGAGGGATCAAATCGAATTGCAGGTCTACTGGATTGCAGGCCCACTCTGCTAGCCACGATACCACGACGGCATCCCGCTCTGAATATGACATGCGGACGATACAAATGCTCACCATTTGACATAAGGTTCGGGAAAGCCTTGCACGGTGCACATGAACCTGGTGCTTGATTTCTCCCACACGGAATGGGAGCGTGGCTTCACAAGGAACTGCGGGGCTCCATGCATTGTCCCGTCGATGACCTGGCTGAGATAGGACTCGGACTCAGCATGCACCTGCACAGACCAACAAAGGCAGCGTGTGAATCAAGGATGCCCATTGGAGTGAGACACCACAGTACCGCCCTGTGGTGTGCATGGGCGGTGACATAACCAAGCGTTAGCCCATTTGTTTCTGGTTGTAGAGGTTCTTGGTAAAATCGCAGTGGCCACCCTGGTTAATTTAACGGGTAAACCAATTACATGCCGTCCACCTCCGATTAGCATGGCTGGCCATGGCAAAAGAAGTTCACCTTCACACGGACGTTAAATATGTGGTGAAGTTATTTTAAGAAGAGTCAGCCACCTATGCCGGCATCACAGGTTCAAATTTGAAAACCTGGCAAATTACTTATTTTGGAAAAAAAACACGTTAACATCACCTCCTGCTGGCAGACTATACGCATCTGCGATACATTGTGCCTAAATTATTACCTTGCGCTATTTGTATGACGATGGTACACAATAATGATTCGTATAAGTTTAGGGTCCCAAAATAGTGCAGGGATCATTTCAAAACAACAATAATTTGGAGTGAAAGATGACAATAAAGCGTATCTATCAATAAAAAAATTCTACCCACGTGACTTTACCGAAATAACCAAAGAGTATGGATTCCTGCAGTCACGAAAGCTTCGAATCAAGATTTTATCTATCAATTAAAGTGAATTATTTTAATTCACTTAACGAATTAAGCAATTAATTTTCAAACTTTTAATTATAACATTGACTGAACCAAGCCACTGATGCTGTAAGTATTTAAACAAATCCTTCAAAATGAATTGTACCAGTGAAACTTCAACCGTACGTGAACTTTGCGGCAGCCGCTGGAAAGCATAACATCTCAAATACTCGTATTCTATTTCCTAATTAACCAAGCAAGCTGCAACCATTATGTAGATGATTATATAATTAACTACATTGTAACGTCTAACATCCTTGCTATATGATGTATTCTGAAGTCCATCACAGAATGGAGGCCTGAGCGCCAGTGGGGATTAAGTCTGCAACTATTTTAATTAATTGCAGCCGGTATCTAGTAGCGTGGAAACCTTGCATTAGCAAACGTAACACGCTTGTTTGGATTTTATAGCCACCTCATTTCAGGGCAGTGAAGCCTCGTAAGGACTTCACGGTGAAATGATGTAGGCACGTGCTTTATAGCAGCCTTCATCCCAAGAATGTCGTGAAGAGTTTTCTAACCTTTTTAATGGCAGCACTTTCGGAGTAGTCCCGCGTGGCATGCCGTTTGCTGCTCAGGATCTCTTCTGCCGAGCGAAAGGAAGAGCTTGCCACTTTGCTGCTGCTGCTGCTGCTTTGCCTGCTGCTGCTCATACTGCTGCTCATGCTGCTGCTGCTCACTCGACTGTGACTTGCCGCAGAGCTGCGTCCTTCTTGATGCATCAAGCCCACATTCCTCAAAGTGGAAAAAAAAGCAAAATGACAAATTTCACCCACTCGCCAACCATGGATATCAATGGCCAGGAGAGACTTTTAGTAAAAAGTGTGCATATTGTGACGTGACTTACCGTTCCGAAACACCGATCGATCCACTTCCAACCATAGACTTTGACAAAATGCTCGAATGTGCTGGATGTCGGGAAGTTGCGATCGATAAACTATCCAGGTCGCTTAAGCCAGAGCCTCCATCAATATAAACAATGAACTTTTTGCTGTAAAAACAAACAAATCAAGCAGCACAACGTTAGTAGCACTTCATTTGATATGTCGAGCTTGAATGATTGAGGGCCCGATTCATGGAGCTATCTTGGCTGTCATTCTACCAAAAAAAGTGGCAGAATGATGATCATTTTTGTTTCAAAACCAGCCCCATTCCACATTTTGCAATTCAGCAGAGGACAATTTCACACCGAAATGCACCCATTCCACCGCCACTCACGTCAGCCCGATCGGCCAGTATGCGGGGTTAAGGCAGGGTTAGAGCAATGCCATCATATAGAACTACGTAAAGTGCGCTTTGAGAGCATTTGCAGGGAGCACTGAGATGATGCAATGGCCCATTTTCCCATAATTAAAAGTTTTGAGCAAAGTTTGCTCTAAACTTAACAGCAAATGCCGAGATAGAGGTACACATGCTCATGAAGAGTAAGGCAGCAACGATGCAGGTGAACAGGGCCCAAGACAAGGGCAATGATGGTATTTCTTAGAATGTTGATTATTGTAATGATGTTTGTGATGATGATGATGATTATTGTATGAATGGTAATGAATATTTCGTTGAAGATGATGACAATCACATTGCTGTTACTGCTGTCACTGCTGCTGATGATGATGAACAAGAAAAAGAGCTAGTGTTCCTGGGAAAGCCTCATTGCTGAGCAGGTTTCCGAGTTTCATAAATCTCCCTGTGGCCAACCAGTAATTTTACTCCAAAGCATAATGTCAAATAAACCATACCAATTAGTAAATTAACTATAGTAATTAGTCTCATATCAAGGTGCATAAACCTTCACGTGAACTCCGGTCATACTCGCAGCAGCTTTTGGCTGACCATCGAACAAAGAACGGTCACTGCATCGTGCTGCTTTTAGGTGCGATTGTGTGGCTGTCTGGAACGTTCTACCTCCGATATTCGGAAGTCACTGGAGCTATGCACTTTTAAATATACATTGAAAACACATTTCTTTAGAACAGCTTTTTGTGTTGAGTTTGTTGTCCTCCCCACACACCTCTGATTAGCACGGTTGGCTACGTACGGTGTGAAAGAAGTTCAACATACATACATGAATCCGAAGTCGTTTCAGATGTTGATTTGTACATGGCAGCAGTCTCGGATAGGTATAAATGTAGCAGCCATCACATTTTTTACGTGTAGAATAGAATTATTTAAACTTCATAACGTTTTTGTTAACATTTTCAACATGAGATTTGCAGCTGGGGCTCGTTAAATTCCCGGTGGTGAGATGTTAACTACCTCGCCTGGTATACAGGAGGTTGTGGGTTCAATCCCGACCCTGACGCCTGCTGTATATTTGGAGTTTGCACGTTCTTCCCATGATAGCATTAATTGTTCTCCGGATCCTCCGATTTTTCCCTCTAGATTTAGAAACATGCATTTAGAGTATTTGGCTGCTATGTATTTCCAGGTTGCTTCTGAAAAAGAAGTATTTAGCTTAGTGAGCCTTACCTGGTAAAATAAAAAATAGTTTAGTTTTACTTTGCACATTGTCTTGTGTTTGCATTCAGATCCTGGGGTATATAGAATCATGTCACCAGTATGAAGTTAAAATGTATACTGAGATAGATTTGATGCTGTACAGATTGAGCATAGAATAGGACAGAGCACAGAATACTGTGGGGCACCTTTGATGAGTTGAGTGAAGTCATCGGAAAAAAAATTCCGGTGTTATGCGTGTTTATTTATAGGCTACACACATTATGAACCAACCTTTTGCGTTTTCACTGAGGCCAGAATAACGTAACCTAGTTTGAAGGATATTGTGATCAACAGTATCAATGACTTAGCCAAAAATGTGGAAACTGCTGAGCAGATGTTCCTTTTGTCAAGGTATCTGCTAAAAATGTTATCTGCAACTGTGAGTGAAGCATTGGTAGTGCTATGCTGAGGTCTAAGCCAGACTGATATTCTGTTAACTTTCCATAACACTCTAGATAGTTGATCAACTATTTCTGCACCAATTTTTCTAATGTTTAAGATGAGAGATTAGAGATGGGTTTGTAATTGAATGGGTTATTTGAATCCCCCGTGCAATGTTAATATTGGTTTGTTAAAAAAGAGACATTTATAGTTTTATAGCACAAATGCAAGCAGGTTGTGCTCTAAATGGAAACACGCTATTTTAAACATGACTATAACTTAAATTTAGATTTAAAGCTTTCGTGACTGCAGGAATTCATATTCTTGGTTCTTTCGGTAAAGTCACGTATAAGGGAAACAATAAAATAATACAAATATAAAACAATAAATAATAAAAATATGAAACAATATTTTTTTATTATTTTATTGTTGCCCTTATACGTGACTTTACCGAAAGAACCACGAATATGACTATAACTTATGAAGGAAAGTCAGATTATACACAAATGCGTGCTCAGGTTAATACGATTATGTGTGCATATTTGTGCACATGTATGCATGCATCCCGAACTTCTTTCGCAACGTACGTAGCCAACCGCGCTAATCGGAGGTGCCACATTTGTGACGGGCATCGGGGCAGCTAAAGCTTACTGTCAGAACCTCGCCACACTCACATTCTCTCCATGACTTCACACTGACACCACATGTCACTCGTCTCACCCAACGGCTTCACGTCCCACCACTTTCTCCAAATAATCACTCCACCCTCTTTACAGCACTCGTCCCCCACCAGAGGCAACGGAGATGCACCGATCGGCGAGTCTCTTGATACAGAAGGAGCAATGAACCTCTTTATTTTCCCAACCGGCGAACAGAAACAGCACTCGGAGTCATTAGCACAAGTGGCTGCCTGCCTGCCCCGCTCACGTTTGTTAATGTTCAACAACAGGTGTGACCAATGGACAGACAGCACTCCCGTCTGTAATTTCAGTTATTTTTGGAGAAGGCAAGAGACAAGCAATGGCACGCGTTATCTGCAGATGCATGCCGCAGAGGGAAGTGAAGAGGTTGGAATGCTCGATTTAAAGCTTTCGTGACTGCAAGGATTCATCTTCTTTGGTTCTTTCGGTAAAGTCACGTAGAATGAGAATAAAATTATAAATTAATAAAATAAAATAACACAATAAAATTCTCACGACGTTTCGGCCACAACACAAGTGGCCTTCATCAGGTGAAGGGATGAGAGTGTCTGGAGGACAGTCTCGTGTTATTTTATTTTACTAATTTATTATTTTATTCTCATTCTACGTGACTTTACCGAAAGAACCAAAGAAGAGGTTGGAATGCGCCTGGAAAGTGTGGGGGAGGGGGGGTGGGAGGTGATTTTGCACGGAAGATTTTGCGAAACAAAAAATGACACAGGAAAAATAAAGGTGAGTTCCATAAAATAGTATGACTGCTCTGAACCTGAAAAAAATAATAGATCTCGTTTCGATCGCAACAACAGGCGAGAGAATCAGACTGCTGTGGACGAGGCATTATATTGACCCAAGAGAGGGGGGGAAAGGTGGGGGGCGGGGGGGGGGTTGACGCATCGGGCAAGAGGGTGGCAGAAAGGTGAGCGACTCGATCAGGTGAGGCTTCTTGTCTCGCAGTCTGTTAAAAGATCGAATAGTTGTGTGGAAACCCTCCCCGTCGAGGCAGGTTCAATCTTGATTTGAAGCTTTCGTCAATGCAGGAATCCATACTCTTTGGTTCTTTCGCTAAAGTCACGTGGGTAGCAAAAAGCTTCAAATCAAGAATGAATTGAATTCGCGCCCATGGTAAATATCAGTGGTGAGTGGCATCTAAAAGCAGTCCTAGCCCTCCCCACTTCACAAACCCACATTTACCAGTGGTCAAATGACGCCCATAACTGATAGGGCATGAGGAGGCCTATATATGTCACGGAATTTTACGTCGAGTGAAAGTCACTCAACGTTGTGCGGGTAAAACAATTCCATTGTTTCCATTGCACTCAACCCTAGGTATCGCAAATGTTTCTGTAAGCACAACGCGACACTCGGTTTAGTATATTCCTCACGACCATACAATAGCTGTATTATTCAAACGCTACTCTGAAGTGTTACGCTGACGTGATTATACATCAAGTATAATTTGCACACTTTATAGGGGGGAAAAAAATACTCGGACAACAAATAACAAATGACATCCGTGTATTGAGGTAGGCATCCCCGTGCCATGCCAGTCATGGAGGTTGTTTTGCCATACTTCACCACATTGGTTGGTGTGGCTTGGTGAAGTGGAGGGAATCTATGACCGACTTTTCAATACCACTCAGCAGCGATTGTTTGTCAAGCCCCTGGACTCAAATCTCACGTTGCCGGCCCATATGCCACTTTGCATGTCTCCACACTGACGCACATCTTAGTGTGAAGAGACCATGGCGCAGGAAGTCGTCACAATAATAATAATAAAACATTTGCAATATTAGCAAACTCGTTGAATGGCTACGTGAGCGCTCGGTACCCCAGCTCCGTGCGCTTACCGGCTGCGCTCTGCCTGTCCGCTCTCCGCTCCATATTCTTGGAGGACGGACTGCAGCTGCTTGGAGCGATACTGGTGGTCGTACTGCCGGTGCTTCTGCTTGAAGTAGGAGGCCGAAGACGTTGATGAGGCCATGACGAGGACACAACCGATGCCTTACAATGTGAGCGTCAGCCGACTTGTCCTTGCTGGTCGTCCGCGTCTCTGTGAATTCATGCAACAACAAAATCAAATCGAAGGTCATCCCCTGTCGTATTTTGATGCAGCCCATAATCCAGACCGGCTGTCACCTAAAAAAAAACAAAGATAAAGACAGATCCCCCGTATAGCCTTAACAGACTGTTGGGGCAAGTGCTGTTTGCGAGCACCTATGAAGGCCGGCACGCCACACGAGGGGGTGGGTGGCCAACACCACGCCCGGCCGCCTTTGTCTCCCCAGTGGTGATGTTTACACACCACACCAGGTACTCATTTGAGGCTGAGTCAACCTCGGGGAGGCCCAGGACCGGTTCAGATAATCGTCACCGGTGTTGGCCGTGAGCAGGATTCGAACCCGGGTCGCCGAGTTCATAGCGCAGCGTAGCGCTAACCGCTACACTACCGCTCCCCCATTACTTTCATACCACACACACACAAACATGAACCATGAATGATTATACTGTGTATAATACAGTTAAGCCAACATTCATAAATAAGTACACTTATGTGGGCAAACTTTTACCAAATTCGATATATTTTTTCGCCTTTAATGTTATAGCCATCATAAGTAATGCATTGCTCACATATTGTAATTTTATTTTAGACACCTACATTTAAAGTAATGATGTGAATTTAGAACATACATTTTACTTTTCAGAATAGGAATTACTACACAATTGATTAAACACCACGGGACTATATTACAGGATAAAAAAAAATCCACCTCATAAAAACAAAATGCAGTCAGGCTCAGAATAAATAAATAAACATCCTAGAAAAGAACATGAATCTACGTTAAATCTATTGAGTTATATATGGTGGTGAATATAATGTAATGGAGATTCTTGGTGATGTATTACAGTTACATTTATTTTATTGTACACTGCGGGCACAGTGATGGCCACACTCGGTAAAGAAAGAATTCAGTAAAATATTATCATTGTTATATACAATAAAATCACATATGTAAGGCTTGACAATAAGATTAATGTGTACATTCACCAAAGCATATGTGTACATTCCAGTTTTTCAATGTCACTGTAATAATGCTGGCAACCTTCCATGCAGGAAAAAATAATAACATATATGCCACCATGACAAAGTGTACCAAAGTTACGAAGCATAAGTGAGAATTAAGCAGATACAAACATTGCACAAAGCACATTACCGACAATACGCAAATGCCTAAACACATTCGATGTTGTTGCTTTCTGTGCATTGATGCTTACCAGCTCTGCCTAAACCCCAGAAAGGAAGAGAGCCGAGCTGCAAAGAAGGAGCTTTCTGCCTTTAGCGTTGAGAGACCCGCGAGAAGTTAGCATACAGCATCAACTCACTGCCAAAACAGCACTGCCTATAATTTGCCATTTGTGTGTGCGAACCCGACAGGCATGTCTCCCAAGCCACACGGCCATGTAAGGACCCGTGGGATATAAATACAGCTGGCAGTTCACGCCGCGCCTCATCGCTTTATTAGACCAGAGGGAGAAACTAATACTCGAGTTGTCCCGAGTGTAGACTAAGCCATTCTTTTTCAAGAGGTCACTTCACGGAAATCTCTCACACCATGTTCTCTCAGCTAACACGAGTGGGTGTACACAATACACTTCGAATGATGCTTAATTAATATTTTCTTTTCAAGACGGGCACTTTACACACACTGATAAATTAAACACAGCCACGATAGTGCAATGCCCTTCGCAAGAATTGCATTTACGGGTAACAGCATGCGTGCAATGCCACGCCAATGTATAAGTAGGATTTACGGCGTGCGCACATTTACACAGCAGCTGTAGTTGCAAACATGTGAACGTTTCGTGGCCGAATAGTATGGCAACATAGGAGAAAACTTGCGAAAATGTGTCCCGATGCGTGCCGCATCAGTATTCCACGCGTCCTCCAGCACGCTCATTAAATTGTTCTCACATACTCCTCTCGAGGGCTGCGCATCAATGTCCACGTTGCTTTGGAGCTTTCGGGGGGGGGGGGGGGGGGGGGGAGACAGTGGGGTGTGAGGGGGACAGTGGTTGGTTTTGTTGCTTAGGATTCTTTGTGTGATTCACAGACACCCCTCCTGGGGCTGGTTCGGTTAAAATCTGGGGGAGGCATAATTCAGCTTGATGGGATGACAACAAAGCAACGCGAGTTCAGCCATCGAGATTGCGACCAAGGAAAATGAACAAAGCACAGCGGATGTGTTGATGTACTCTTTACTTTTCTCAAACAAAAGCACTGCTATTCAGGGGTGATACGATTCAGTACAGCTGCCATTGATAAATCTAAGACTAAGAACGTAAACATCACTAAAGTTTGGTAAGTACAAACGATGCACGGGTCTCATATTTTCTCTAAGTAGACACTTTTGATTTGTAATCTAATATGAATTGTTGCGTTAACTATTTCCTGTTCGGGACTGTAAATGTAAAATGAGTTGGTACCGTCATGCTAAAAATGTATTGCAATGAGAAAATTATTTTCAGAGTCTGCTGGAACAATGCCAACATTTTACAGGTCCTCATTTTTACTGAATTGTTTGGCAATCTAAATATAGTGTGGAATACATTGCAATAAATATAAGTAGACTCCTAAATACATATTTCCATTGAATGAATAACGACAGCTTGGTGAAGTTGATTTCTATATTTTTTTGTTAACCGGGTAAGGCTCACTGAGCTATGTAGCTCTTTTTCAGAAGCGACCTGGCCACAAATGAAAGCTCAACGAAGTGGCTTAATTCATTATTTTATTCCAAACCACAGAAAACTTGCTGCAGGGAGCCTGCTAGTGTCAGATCATTGAACTAGTGCAGGGGTCGGCAGCCAAAATAACAAGAGCATTTTGTGTTGTTTCGAATTTGGTAAAAAAGAATTCCTGCAATATTTCAAGGGCCGTAATGTGTGTCAATGAGATGGTGGTGGTCCTTCATAAATGACGTCACGAAGCAGTCCTTAAAGAGCCGCATGCGGCTCTGGAGCTGATCCCGCAACTAGTGCATAGAGGTGTATGAAAATCTTCTTTGGTTCTTTCAGTAAAGAACCAAAGAAGGTGAATCCTTGCAGTCACGAAAGCTTTAAATCGAAGTGTATGAAGATATTGAACCTGATTCATGTACATATTTGGTTGTTATTCCCCTATTTCACAGAATTACGGACGTTTCTGCATATCTAAATATGTATTATTCCACGTGATCTTCTAGTCCCATGGCCTCTTAGGTCATGAGCATTTCCTTCACCCGAAACTCCTTGCAGTAGTTTCTCCACTTCTCTCTCTCTCCATCACTGCGTCTTTGAACTGAGACAGCTTCCATCCCGCCGAGCATATCATGTTTGACGTCAAGCCCAGATGGTGGTCTTCTTCTCCTCCTAGCACCTTTCCAGGGTTCCCTCAATCACCGCCCCTTCGCCGCAGGGCACAATTCATCCTGGTCACGTGTCAAGTGTGTTGCAGTTTCCCATAGTTGACCTGAATTAGTAGCCTTGATTCAATGTGGTCAATCAGGCTCAAAGCTGGCACATGAATTATGCAGAACACATTTTTGTGGAATGTCCTCATAATGATTACATTTTCAATTATGTGAAAACAAACTCTACATTAATCATGTCCCCCCTTCTCTATGACTTCTCAGTATTGCAAAACATGTAAGGGAGAGGAATGGCTCAACATAGGTGTAAGAATAAGAGCGAATGCATCAACAAATGCTGATTTTGGGTGCCTTGAATTTGCGCTTGTCTTCTAAGAAACAACTAGAAGAAATATATGCATACTACAAAAAATGAATCGTAACATATAGACCATTCGTCCAACGTGACAGTCAAATAATATTGTCTCTATAATGAAAGTGGTGGCTGAATCATGCGAGCTTTGTGTTTTCTGTCTAGTACAATGCTATTGGCAAGTAATTGTGTTTTTTATGCAACACTAGTTATACGTTATGCTATTGTACTCTTCTGAAGCAAAACATGACAATGTGTTGTATTGTTTGTGAACATTTCAATGTCATTTTTTTGGGATTCCAGCAATTAAAACTAAAGCATGCAGAGTTCCAATGAATAGTCTAAAAATGTTTTTGACATTTAGCCAGAAAAAAAATTGTACATGATCATGACTGCAACAGTGTGCTGAATGAAATACAAATCAATCTCCTTCTTAACTACTATCATTAACTACTGACATCTTATATTATGAATGTGGACTTAATTGAACTCCATTTTGAAATTGAATTTCTTATAAATGCACATAAAAGTCACAATGGAATGGTCTTACAAAGCAGATTGAGTATATTTTTTAATAAAAAAAATCGAAGAAAAAGAGTGTTAACACAAAATTAAAATCTTTAAATTATTGCAATGTGACCCATTGGCTGTGTGATCTGTAACGTCAGAAATTAATATTTTTTTTCACGCCATTTGTCATCTTCACTAATATGAATACATGAGTCGACTCATTATTACTTTTGGAATAGATCGTGTAGGTAAACAAATATTCAGCAAAAAACCCTCCACCACCTGACAGAGCGAATGAAATCAAGTTGTCATCTTGGAAAATATATAAATTTATGTTCAAAAGTGCGCAAATTGTTGACAATGCTATACGTTTCGCTGGAGATAACATCGAGCATCATCAGGCGTTAAGAGCTCAGCTCTCCCGTCGACTGTGAACATAGTATGCTGACTTAGCAGCATAGGGCAGGAAACCACAGACAGGCTGGAAGGCAGCCAGAATCCAGCGTTGACAAATGTGTCCAAGCTCTATGGTCTCCAAGTAGGGGGGGATGCTTGCTATGTATAATCCCAACCAAGAAAATTTGGACCATGGCGCTAACACACAGTGGTCTCGTCTTGTGAAATACATCATGGGATGTTCAATGTCCACTGTTTAGCGTATACAGTGAGGGAAAAAAGTATTTGATCCCCTGCTGATTTTGTACGTTTGCCCACTGACAAAGAAATGATCAGTCTAATTTTAATGGTAGGTTTATTTGAACAGTGAGAGACAGAATAACAACAAAATCCAGAAGAACGCATGTCAAAAATGTTATAAATTGATTTGCATTTTAATGAGGGAAATAAGTATTTGACCCCTCTGCAAAACATGACTTAGTACTTGGTGGCAAAACCCTTGTTGGCAATCACAGAGGTCAGACGTTTCTAGTTGGCCAACAGGTTTGCACACATCTCAGGAGCGATTTTGTCCCACTCCTCTTTGCAGATCTTCTCCAAGTCATTAAGGTTTTGAGGGTGACGTTTGGCAACTCGAACCTTCAGCTCCCTCCACAGATTTTCTATGGGATTAAGGTCTGGAGACTGGCTAGGCCACTCCAGGACCTTAATGTGCTTCTTCTTGAGCCACTCTTTTATTGCCTTGGCCGTGTGTTTTGGGTCATTTTCATGTTGGAATACCCATCCTCGACCCATTTTCAATGCCCTGGCTGAGGGAAGGAGGTTCTCACACAAGATTTGATGCCATTTTGGTCTCATCTGACCACAACACTTTCACCCAGTTGTCCTCTGAATCATTCAGATGTTAATTGGCAAACTTCATACGGGCATGTATATTGCTTTCTTGAGCAGAGGGACCTTGCGGGCGCTGCAGGATTTCAGTCCTTCACGGTGTAGTGTGTTACCAATTGTTTTCTTGGTGACTATGGTCCCAGCTGCCTTGAGATCATTGACAAGTTCCTCCCGTGTAGTTCTGGGCTGATTCCTCACCGTTCTCATGATCATTGCAACTCCACGAGGTGAGATCTTGCATTGAGCCCCAGGCCGAGGGAGATTGACAGTTCTTTTGTTTTCTTCCATTTGTGAATAATCGAGCCAACTGTTGTCACCTTCTCACCAAGCTGCTTGGCAATGGTCTTGTAGCCCATTCCAGCCTTGTATAGGTCTACAATCTTGTCCCTGACATCCTTGGAGAGCTCTTTGGTCTTGGCCATGGTGGAGAGTTTGGAATCTGACTGATTGCTTCTGTGGACAGGTGCCTTTATACAGGTAACGAGCTGAGATTAGGAGCACTCCCTTTAAGAGTGTGCTCCTAATCTCAGCTCGTTACCTGTATTAAAGACACCTGGGAGCCAGACATCTTTCTGATTGAGAGGGGGTCAAATACTTATTTCCCTCAATAATATGCAAATAAATTTATATCATTTTTGACATGCGTTTTTCTGGATTTTGTTGTTGTTATTCTGTCTCTCACTGTTCAAATAAACCTACCATTAAAATTATAGACTGATCATTTCTTTGTCAGTGGGCAAACGTACAAAATCAGCAGGGGATCAAATACTTTTTTCCTTCACTGTAACTGTGTATCAACTTCTCCTAACCCATGGTTCGCAGAAGGATTTCAGTCTTCCTGCCTCTGACGTTGAGTTATTTCCTCAGGGTTTCAGTACAAAGCGTCACTGAACTCCCTGGATCCATGAATGTGTATGTCTCCCGACTCGTCACACTTCGTTTGGATTTGATTTTCACTGGAACAATGGCGAGAATACAATGTCCGTCTCCAGCCCCGGTGCTTAAGGGACGCAATAGCACTTGAGGCTATCTTCTCTTCCGTGGTGCCATCTTCATTCCTTTTAGAGGTGGCACGGTTTTCTTTAATGACATGCAGCATGCTTGGATGCTTCAAGTTACACTCTTCACATGTCATTCTTTTCTTACTCTCCTTGCT